ACTCGACGTAGATCACGTCCCCGTCGTGGTAGCTGGGGGAGTTGGCGATGAACTTGGCGTCGGGGGGCAGGGCGGGAGGCGGGCACCGGGTTCTTGTTCCTTCGGGGAGACATAGCGGCAGGTGGAGCCATAAAGTTTACCCACCAAGAAAGCCCAATAAAGAGCCCAGGCCGGGTAGGCACGTTCGTTGTGCCAAGTACCGCGAAGAAGGAGGCCGAAACCCGTGTGGCTCAGTGGATAGAGCACGTCGGTCTGTGGAAGGAAGGGTCCCGGGTTCGATTCCGGTCAAGGGCGTGTGCCTTGGTGGCGGGCACATCCCCGGTGGGGGATGTGCAGGAGGCAGCTGATCGATGTTTCTCTCTCATCGATGTTTCTAGCTCTCTATCCCTCTCCCTTCCTCTCTGTAAAAAGTCAATAATTTTATATATATATATATATATATATATATATATATATATATATATATATATATATTTTTTTTTTTTTTTTTTTTTTTTAAGAAGGATGGCAGAAAGGATGGCAGGTATGCCCGGGTCCCGGGCTGGATCCCCCATACCGGGGCGTACAGGGGACGGCTGATCAGTGATTCTCTCTCATCATTGATGTTTCTATCTCCTCTCCCTCTGCCTTCCTCTCTGAAACCGATAAACATTTTATTATCAATAAATATTTTTAAAAAAGAAAAAAGAGATTTGAAATGTACGAGATTGGCCCTGACCTTGGTGGCGGGCACATCCCCGGCGGGGTGGGTGGGGGGGTGTAGGAGGCAGCTGATCGATGTTTCTCTCTCTCATTGATGTTTCTAACTCCCTATCTCTCTCCCTTCCTCTCCGTAAAAAAAAAGATCAATAAAATATATTTAAAAAGAAAAATGTATGAGGTTGTTTTTTAAAAAATACATTGACAAGACATATCCACTCAACGATCTCATACAAAATGCAGGGTGTCTTTGCATGAACTGTATTAGAGTTTGCTGAACAACCAAGTGAAGAGACAATATTTATTTTTAAAAATAGCACCCAGGGCACAAACTAAAGACTTTTTCCCCCATAGAAGTAGAGCTGGTTAAGGCATGATATTTTGGCTAATAACTGTGGATGGTGCCGGGGGGAGGGGGGGTATAGGATTATCCAATCACGAGACCACATACCTGAAACTAACACAAAATAATATTGAATGGAAACTGTAACTGAAAAAAAAATAACTTGAACATAAAAAAAATATATATATACACACATACACATATATATATATATGAACATTTTATACAACAAGAGGAAAAAAAGACATGGTATTTTGTTGGTAGGTGTGACATTTTTGGAAATTACCTTGGCACACAGGAACTTTGGGGAACCAGCCAAATTCGTAGCACTGGATTAGGTCCGGTCCACTGAGATAATAATTTTCATGGCAGAAGAACTGTACCACATCTCCTTCTTCGTAGATTGGCTTGACGGGTATAAAATAACCGTTTTCTACGGATCTTAAAGGGGTGCACGTTAATTCTAAAAATGAAAGTAAAACACACACACACACATACACACACACAAAAGTAATTTTTTTTCCCGCTGGAATAAAATGCACCTACCACTTACACGCCATATCGGGAACTGATCTTATTAGATTTGCCGTATTTTATTTCACAAAAGGAAAGCTTGTCCATATATATATATATATATATATATATATATATATATATATACACTCTGTTTCCCCGAAAATAAGACAGTGTCTTATATTAATGTTTGCTCCCAAAGATGCGCTAGGTCTTATTTTCAGGGGGTGTCTTATTTTTCCATGAAGAAGAATATGGTACACATTTATGGTGAAATGAAAATAAAGGAAATTTATTCCCTGTAGACTGTTCGGTAGTACGGTCGTTGTCAACACAAACCAGACAAACTGTGAATCCTACAGCATCAAGAATTGACTCATTTATTCGATGACAATCATGTCATCCTCTTCTGGAACATCATCCTCACCATCCAATCCCTGAATTTCCTGGTGAATTTCTGTGGCTCCATTTCTTTCAGAATCAGTGGACCAGATCTCTCATGTTTAGCCTAGGGGGGGGTGGGGGGGCGCGGCTTATTTTTGAGGGGATGCCTTATATTTCACTCAGAAGGAAGCCTGTAAGTAGGTCTTATTTTCGGAGGATGTCTTATTTTCAGGGAAACACAGTATAGATAGATAGATAGATAGATAGATAGATAGATAGATAGATGATATAGATTTAGATATAGATATAGATATAGATATAGATATAGATATAGATATAGATATAGATATAGATACACACACACACACACACACACACACACACACTAGAAGCCCAGTGCACAGAATTCATGCACAGAGGGAGGGTGAGCTTTCAAGGATCGAAGACTACGCTAATCAAAACCAGAAGCCAATAAAAAAAAAAAGGGAGAGTGGAAACATGGACCATAATCAGCATAAACGTAATCAGCACGCCCGTCTGTCTGCCGGAGGGCGAGGGGGTCGGCAGCATGGAGGCCGTGTGTTCCGGGGAGAACCTACTGTTACACGACGGCGGGAGGAACCACCCGTGCGAGCGGCACTCGGCCTCCTCGGCCGACAGGCCCTGCGTGGTGTAGTGGCCGGGGTCGCACCGGTACCGCACGCGGTCCCCCAGGCGGAAGGTGGTCTGAGTCGTGGAGTAATTCCCGTGAGGCAGCTCAGGAACCGAACACGTGTCTAACAGAAAGGACAGTTAATATGTCATGAACGTCATCGCGGAACCTGGAAGAGCCAAAAGAAATCTCCAAGAGCCGAAACCGGTGTGGCTCAGTGGGTAGAGCGCCGGCCTGCGGACGGAAGGGTCCCGGGTTCCATTCCGGTCAAGGGCGTGGACCTTGGTGGCGGGCACATCCCCAGTGGAGGGTGTGCAGGAGGCAGCTGAAGCATGTTTCTCTCTCATCGATGTTTCTAGCTCTCTATCCCTCTCTCTTCCTCTCTGTAAAAAATCAATAATAAATATATATATATATTTTTTTTTTAAATCTCCAAGAGACTTTTCACTGCATCTTCAGAATCTATATGGCAACTACAAATACGGGGAAGCATGTACTATGTTCATGGATAGGAAGAATCAACAGCATGAAGATGGCCACGCTACCCAAAGCAACCTACCCATTCAACGCAACTCCTATCCAGATATCAATGGAATATTTTACACAAGTAGAGCAATCGTTTCAAAAATGCGTAAGGGACCCCAAAAGACCCCAAATGGCAACAGGGATCTTGAGAAGGGAGAACAAAGTGAAAGGAATCGCCCTACTGATAGCAAACTACCACACAAGGCCATCGTAATCAAAACGGTATGGTACTGGCCTACGGACAGACATATGGATCAATGGAACAGAATAGAGACCCCAGAAATAAAAATCACACCTTTATAGTCAGTTAATAGTGGACAGGGAAGGAAAACAATAAAACATACAACGGAAGCAACACAGTCTATTCAATACATGGTGTTGGGGAACGTGACAGACAGATGCATGCAAATAAACAAAACTAGACCACCTTCTTAATGCACACAAGGATAAACTCAACGTAGACTAAAGACTTAAACGTTAGACTCGAAACCATAAAAATCCTACAAGAAAACAAAGGCAGTAAAATCCCATTCTCATAGCAATATTTTTCCTGATGTTTCTCCTCAAAGAAAAACAAAAGAAAAAATAAACAAGTTGGACGCCGTCCCACTGAAGGGTTTTTGCGCAGCAAAGGAAACTCCACAAAATCAAAAGACAGACCACCAAGCGGCGGAATGTATTCGCCAATGACAGGTCTGATGAAGGGTTAGCATCCAAAACGTATAAAGAACGTATAAAACTCAACACCAAAAAAGCAAACCATCCGATTCAAAAATGGGCAAAAGCTCTGGCCGGTGTTGCTAAGTGGTTACCAGTGGTCGGCGAACTCAACAGTCCACGGAGCCAAATACCAACAGCACAACGATTGACATTTCTTTGGAGAGCCACATTTTTTAAACTTAAAAACTTCTTTTTTTTTTAAAATATATTTTATTGATTTTGTACAGAGAGGAAGGGAGAGAGATACAGAGTTAGAAACATCGATGAGAGAGAGTCATCGATCAGCTGCCTCTTGCACACCTCCTACTGGGGATATGCCCGCAACCAAGGTACATGCCCTTGACCGGAATCGAACCCGGGACCCTTCAGTCCCCAAGCCGACGCTCTATCCACTGAGCCACACCGGTTTCGGCTTAAAAACTTCTTGTAACGCCACTTCCTCAACATGGACTCGCCCAGGCCGTGGTGTTTTGTGGAAGAGCCACACTCAAGGGGCCAAAGAGCCACGGTTTGCCGGCCACTGGGTTAGCCCATTGGCTCAAGCACGGAAGGGTCTCGGGTTCTATCCTCAGTCGAGGGCACACGCCTGGGCTACACATTCGACCCTGGCCCTGGTTAAAGCTCACGTGGAAGGCAGCCTCAGCTTAAGGAAGCACCTGGCATTCGATAACAAGATCATTAATTACTCCCTGCGTCGGCAGGAAGGATGAAAATCCTACTGCGTTCACTAAAAACGCCCGTCCGCCTCCCCCTCCGCCGGTGTGGTTCAGTGGTTGAGCGTCGGCCTATGAACCAGGAGGTCACAGCTCAGGGCACACGCCCAGGTGGTGGTGGGCTGGGTCCTTAGCAGAGGGCCTGCAGGGGGCAGCCGATCCTTGATTCTCTCTCATCATTGACGTTTCTCCCTCTCCCTCTCCCTCTTCCTCTGCCTTCCTCCCTGAAATAAATAAAAAATACACTGAAAAGTAAATACATTTAAAAAAATAAAAACCACCATGTGCATAAGAAAGGGGTAGGGAAGGCAGGGGAGGGGGGATGTAAGAGATCAACCCAAGGACTTGCATGCGTGCATGGTACCCTCACCGATGGCCACGGGTACTGGGGCGGTGGGGCTTGTCCTGCGGGCGGGGTGGCCAGGAAGGGGACAGTGCGGGGGGATTGGGGGGCAGGAGACCTATGTAATACTTTAAACAATAAATAATAATAATAATTTTTAAAGAAAGGAAGGAAGGGGTAGCCTGGCCAGCTCCAGCCTCGGGCCTGGGGCTGGCGGGCACGTACCCTGCTGCTCCCGGCAGGCCGGCTGCGAGGACCACCCGCCGGCGAGACACTGCAGCTCCTCCTCGGCCAGCCCCCCGGGGGTGCGGAACCCCGGGGCGCACGTGTAGCGCAGCTTCTCTCGGACCCCGAACAGCAGCTTGGCCTCGGCGAGCTGGCCGTGGGTCAGGGCGGGCCGCGGGCACTTCTCTGGGGAGAGACACGGCCGTCCGCTGAGCGCGATGCCCTGGGGCTCGCTGCCCAGGCATCTCGGACCCCGGACGGCGGGTCGCCCTCCCTCTGCGGCTCCTGATTCTGCTTCCGTTTGGAAATGGCCCACGGGCATTGGAGAAGCCGTGCCCTTGGCCTTGGACGTGGGCTTGCGTGTAAGGTTGACCAGACGTCCCGCCGTTGGCGGGACAGTCCCGATGTTTAACCATTTGTCCAAAAGCGGGACGTCTGGTCACCTGACCTGCGTGGCATGGCCGGCTCTGGGTCCTTAGAGCCACATTTCTTAAACTTAAAAACTTCTTTTTTAAAAAAAAAATATATTTTATTGATTTTGTACAGAGAGGAAGGGAGAGAGATACAGAGTTAGAAACATCGATGAAAGAGAGTCATCGATCAGCTGCCTCTTGCACACCCCCTACTGGGGATATGCCCGCAACCAAGGTACATGTCCTTGACCGGAATCGAACCCGGGACCCTTCAGTCCCCAAGCCGACGCTCTATCCACTGAGCCAAACCGGTCTCGGCTTAAAAACTTCTTGTAACGCCACTTCCTCAACATGGACTCGCCTCCCCCGTGTCCACGTAGAGAAAGCACACCCAAGCCGCAACGGTGTGGCTCAGTGGACGGAGCGTCGGCCTGCGGACTGAAGGGTCCCGGGTTCGATTCCGGTCAAGGGCATGGACCTTGGCTGCGGGCACATCCCCAGTGGGGGGCGTGCAGGAGGCAGCTGATGGATGTTTCTCTCTCATCGGTGTTTCTAATTCTATTCCTCTCTGTAAAAACTCAATTACAACTATGTATAATAATACCTTAATCAATAAAAAAATATTTCTAAAAAGAAATAAAGTCAAAACCGGTGTGGCTCAGTGGATGGAGCGTCAGCCCGCGGACTGAAAGGTTCCAGGTTCGATTCCGGCCAAGGGCATGGACCTCGGTGGTGGGCACATCCCCAGTGGGGGGCGTGCAGGAGGCAGCTGACAGATGTTTCTCTCTCATCGATGTTTCTCACTCTCTCTCCCTCTCCTTTCCTCTCTGTAAAAAAAATCAATAAAAAATATTTTTTTAAAAAAAAGAAAAAGAAAAGAAAGCACACCCAGAGCCCCCACTCACTGCCGTCACGAGTGGCAAATGGAAGGGATTGTTCTGGGGTTGGCTCCCTCCGGCGCTAAGCTCACTGGCGTGGGGGTCGTTCGCATCGTTAACTAAAGACACACACAGGCCGGCGGCAGGGACCCTCCCCAGCCCTGCGCCCGGCGAGGACCCGACGGGCTGCCCCCGGGCAGTCACCCCCTGAGCGCCTCTTCCCTCAGGACGAACGCGGCTGAGGGACAAGGTCAGCGGTCCTTTCCCTTCTCTTCTCGGGGAACGAGGAACAACAAGCAAGGAAAGCAGCGTTCTACGGAGCAACGTCACTCACAGCCTTTCAGATCGGGCCTTCGTTTTGTGCAAATAAAGGACGCCCGGCCGGCCGGCGTGACTCAGTGGTGAGCATCCACCTGTGAGCCAGGAGGCCAGGGTTCGATTCCCGGTCAGGGCACAGGCCCGGGTGGCGGGCTCCATCCCCAGTGGGGGGCGTGCAGGAGGCAGCCGATCCATGAGTCTCTCTCATCGTAGATGTTTCTAACTCTCTGTCCCTTTCCCTTCCTCTCGGAAATCAATTTTAAAAAAGAAAGTGTATGAAGATTTTTTTTTTAAACAAAGATGGTGGAGGAGGCCATAGAGGTAGTGGTAAATAAATGGGGATGGAAAAACAAAACAAAATTAAATTAAAATAAAATAAAATACAACAAAATAAAATAAAATAAAAAAATACACAGCAGTCCCTAGGTTGTTCTCTGCCGAAGGGACTAACTACATCTCATTGGCCCCTTCTATTTATTTATTTTTAATTGATTTCCGAGAGGAAGGGCGAGAGTGAGAGAGAGAAACATCCACGGTGAGAGAGACTCATGGACCGGCTGCCTCCTGCTCGCCCCGCACTGGGGATGGAGCCCGCCACCCGGGCCTGTGCCCTGACCAGGGATTGAACCGTGACCTCCTGGTTCCCAGGTGGATGCTCACCACTGAGCCACACGGGCCCGGGCGGCCGCTCCTGTGGACGGGGCCGGCGCAGGGCGGGACTTACTGTAGCACCTGGGCTCGGGGGCCCAGCCCCCCGCGGTGCAGGCGGTCCTGTCCTCTTGCTTCCCCGAGTCGGTGGTGTAGCCGGCCAGGCAGGAGAAGGCCAGCGAGTGGCCCACGGCCATCGGGAAGTAAAAGCTCTCGAACGTGTAGTAATAGACGGCGATCCTCCCGTTCTCCACGCGGGGCAGGCCGCAGGGCGTGTCTGCTGGGAGGGGACAGTCAGGCTGCGGCCACGGAGCCACGGCGGAGCCACGGCGGAGCCGAACCCGGGCGCTCGGGGCCGTGACATGGGTGGCCCGGCCACGCCCGCCGCCTGCCTGTCCGAGCGCTGGCAGGCAGGCCGACCACCGACTGCATCTCACCACCTACATTTTTTAAAAATATATATATATATAAATATATCTTATTGATTTTTTTACAGAGAGGAAGGGAGACGGATAGAGAGCTAGAAACATCGATGAGAGAGAATCATCCATCAGCTGCCTCTTGCACACCTTCTACTGGGGATGTGCCCGCAGCCAAGGTCCATGCCCTTGACCGGAATCGAACCTGGGACCCTTCAGTCCGCAGGCTGATGCTCTAGCCACTGAGCCACACCGGTTTCGGCACATCACCTACGTTTTTAAGGACTTCGGGGACGACCCCTTTCCACGGGGAATTAACCACTGAGCCACTCCCATCTCTGCCCCCCCACACACAGCAGTCCGTGGGACCTGGGCAGCCCCCGGCTCAGAAAGCTCTCCCCAGCCTCATGGCACACCTTTCCGCGGAACGGCGGGGGCGTCCCTGCGATGCCTCAGCTTCTCAGCAAAGGAAGAGAATCACCGGAAATGATTATCTTTTTAAAATATATATACTTTTACGGATGTCAGAGAGGAAGGGAGAGGGGAAGGGAGAGACAGAAGCATCCATGATGAGAGAGAATCACTGACCAGCTGCCTCCTGCACGCCCCCCACTGGGGATGGAGCCTGCAACCCCGGCCTGTGCCCCGACCGGGAATCGCACCCCGACCTCCTGGTTCCTAGGTCGACGCTCAGCCACGGAGCCACGCCGGCGGGGCCAGGCAAGCAATAGCTTATGGCGGGATTCCAAGCATCAAGTGAGACATATCCCACTCGTTTCACTTTTCATAACTTTAACCTCGGGCCCTGTTTTCGGTAGAAAATTTGTAGGAAAAGTATGTCCCTCAAAGGCGGGTTATAATCTGGTAGGATATACATTGGAAGAATGAGGGTATTTTTTCCATTGATGTTGAGAGAGAGAGAGAGAGAGAGAGAGAGAGAGAGAGAGAGAGAGAGAGAAACAATGATGTGAGAGAAACACACTGATTGGTTGCCGCCTGCTTGAGGCCCCATAGGGGCCTGGCATTGAACCTGCAACCGAGGTACGTGCCCTTGACGAGGAATTGAACCCGACACCAACGCTCTAACCACTGAGCACACCAGCCAGGCCCCGTTAGGGTATTTTATTTCAACAGACCCCCCCCCCCTCTGGGATGCCCTTTAGGAGGGTCTATTGCTGTGGCTTCCCACTGTGCATGCTCAGTCTGCTGACGGCGGCCGCCCTGGATTCTTACCCCCGTATGACACCCACAGCCAGCCCCCCGCCCCCCGAGGCTCAACCCAGCCTCCCACGAGGCCGTCCGGCTAGCCCGGTGCCACCCTTACGGAGCCCGCAGCTCCCGGTTTGTCTGAACTCCGGTCCTCGTTTTTGTTTTTTAAATCACATCGACACATAGAACATGGAACAGGGCACCTGAACCAGGTGAGACGGACACCAGCCTGTCCGATGACACCGCGGAGAGAAGGAAGCCCACGAAACGCGAGACTTACCTTCGGCGCGGAGTCCTCCTGCGATGGTGAGGAGGACCATCCACGCCAGGTCTCTGGGCCTCATGGTCCAGGGCGTGCTTAGCCTGGATCTGGGGCCATTTTAAAGGCCCCGGCGGGCGGGGGAGGGAGCTCTGGTTAAACACACAATGCTTCTCAGGAAAACGTTAATGATTGAGAGCAGCCGTGTCCCCGGGGAGCCAGCCCGCTGCCCCAATGACCCGAACCACATCCCATCACGCAGCCTTGGCGGCCGATCGATGTGTCTCAGGCCCGAGCCCAACCAGGACGGGGTGACCCAGAGGGGCCTCGGCGCCAATCATTAACTCGAGGGGTCAGCTTTCAACGTCGGCGCCCACGGAGTAAAGATCGCCTGGATCGGGGGGAGGGCTGAGCTTGGGGGGTGGGGGTGATGATGGACAGCTGACCTTGCACGCTGCTCGGTGCCAGGGCAGTGACCTCCGGCCTCCTGGGCAATGAGGGGAGGACACTGGCGATCGAAGCAGCGAATGTTTGGAGCCGCGTGGTCAGCGGCAGGTGCAACGTGGGTCGATGCTCGTGGGTGGACACCAGGCAGCTGGCCGTGGGCTAACCTGGAGGACCAGCCATGGAAAGCCAGGGAGCAGGAGGGTCCGGGGACGTCTGATGGCAAACTCATCAGACCACAGAGCCAGATATCAAGAGTATAATTGAAATGTCTTTTAATTATATATATATATTTTTTTTTTAATTGATTTTTTACAGAGAGGAAGAAAGAGAGAAACATTGATGAGAGAGTATCATCGACCAGCTGCCTCTTGCACAGCCCCCACTGGGGATGTGCCTGCAACCAAGGTCCATGCCCTTGACCGGAACCGAACCCGGGACCCTTCAGTCTGCAGGCCGACGCTCTATCCAAAGACATTTCGGTTGAAATGTCTTTGAAAGCCACATTTTTTAAACTTAAACTTCTTCTAAGGCCACTTCTTCCACACAGACTCGCCCAGGCCGGGGTGTTTTGTGGGAGAGCCACACCCAAGGGGCCAAAGAGCCGCATGTGGCTCGAGAGCCGTGGTTCGCCGACCACGGGTCTAATGTATTCTTAACGGGTTTTCACTTGAAACCACAAAGTCATGCCAGGAGGTGGAAGCTGGGATGAGTTCGATTTTGTAAACATTTTTTTAAAAATTTAAATATGTTTTTATTGATTTCAGAGCGGGAGAGGGAGGGAGATAGAAATGTCAATGATGATGGGGCTCCTGCATGCCCGTTACTAGGGATAGATGCCAACCCAGGCCTGTGCCCTGACCGGGAATCGAACCGTGACCTCCTGGTTCCTAGGTCGGTGCTTAACCCCTGAGCCACACCAGCCAGGCGGTAAACACTATCTTCCACATCATAGGCCCTCACAGGTTTTGTGCTGCATAAATGAAGTCATCTGTGTGTATTTCTATGGCTGACGTCTCCTTTCACCTCCTGTTTGTGGGATCCACCCCTGTCTTGGCTGCGTGGCTGGTCCCTCCCCTGGGTGGTCTGTATCTCATGTTCCCACACTCAGGTCACCTTGGCATTTGACTCTTCACGGACATTCAGGTGGCTTCCCAGTGAGAGATAGGATATGGCCTCTGCTCATTTTCGGTCATTTGTGGTTGTTTTTAATATATTTTATTGATTTCTTACAGAGGGGAGAGGGATTGTTGGAAACATCAATGAGAAACATCAGCTGCCTCCTGCACACCCCCCACTGGGGATGTGCCCGCAACCAAGGTCCATGCCCTTGATTGGAATCGAACCCGAGAGAGACCCTTCCGTCCGCAGGCCGACACTCTGTCCACTGAGCCACACCGGTTAGGGCTCAGTCATTTGTTTTTATCGATAATTTGAAAATTGTCCATCACACCCACCAGCGGGACGGAGGAAGTAGCCAATAGCTGGGGCCAATCCAGGCTGCCAGGACCATCAGGGAGCTCGTTAGACCAACCAGCCCCAGAGGACTGTGGGTTAGAGCCGGCAGTGCAGATGGCTCCACCACGGGGGACAAGTCTGGCCTGGCAGCAGCCCCTGGCCTCCTCCACGCTCATGGTCCTGGGTAAGCTCCCACGCCGAGGGGCAGGCGACTGGAACCCCAAATAAGGAAAGAGCAGGCCAACCCCGAGTGCCCCCCCATGGAATGCCCCGCGTCCCCATGAGCCTCCGAGGAGGGGCTGTGGCCTGGGGAGGAGCCCCCTCCTCCCACTGTCTCTTAAGAAACCGTCACGGGAAACTCCGTGCTGGCTTGTGAGTGAATTCTTTCCCGCGAGAAGCCAAGAACCCAGAGAGGATCATGGGTGATCCAACCCCTGAATCAGCTGGACCCTTTTATGAAATCTTATCATTTAATGACACATTTAAGCAGCCAGCCAGCTGGCCTTTGTCTTCACTTTTGCTAATCCTCACCGAGGATATTTCCCCATTGGTTTTTAGAGAATGGAAGGCAGAGAGCGGGAGGGGGGGAGGGGGGATCATGTACGTAGAGCTACTGCGAAAAGAAACAATGACAAATGTACAAACTTTATTGGTATAAGTATTTCTTAAATTTTAATACAAAATCTGATCGTAGGAATTCTAGAAAAAAAAAAATCCAAAGCACTTTCGCAGCCATGATTAGCGTTATGGCGTCCTGTCCTGCCCGCCGGCCGCCCGTCACGGGTAAGGCAGGCCCAGCGTGTCCATGACCAGCTGCGCGGCCTGCAGGGGCGTCGTGATTTCCTGCCCGGCCTCTCTCCTCAGGACCCAGTCCGGCTGCAGGCTGGAAGATGGAGGCCTCGCGTTAACCACGTCCTCCCGCCTCTCGATCTGGCCGCCCCCGGCGGGGGTGCCACTGGCCTTGGGGTGTCCCCTGTCCGGTTAGCCCCTCGGCCGGCTCCCCCTGACTTCCAGAGGAACGGGGGGCCCTGAGGTTCCTTGTCTGTCTTCTCTGTCCCCAGGGTGACCACCCCCCTCCCGTGGCTTAAAGGCTATCAGTGGGCCCTGGACCTCACGACCCTCACGTGACCTCTGCACTGTCCTCCTCCCAGAACCACAGGCCTGACCGCCCGGCTGCAGCATCCACGGCGCTGCCTCCAGAGACGGCTGCCCAGGCCGGGCTCCCCTCTCGGTCGGTCAGGGCGGCCCCTCCAGCGTCAGCCTCGGCACGCCGAGCGGCCACGCCCTCAGGACTCGCGGGCACTGGGACCCGGGCCGCAGAGCCACCCGCTTACCGCGCCACCGGCCGGGCCCTGGCGGGGCTCTCCGGGAGGCGGGGCAGGCTGGCGGAGGAGTTGTGGCTGGGCCCGGGGAGCGTCCGCTCCGAGTCCGCTCGGTGCTTCTGCGCTGTGAGCCTGTAGATGCTGCTCACACAGCCGGCGACCTTGGACCTGACCTGAGCTTCCTGGACAGGAAAATGCGCACCTGAGTTTCACTCCTTCTGTCACAGCAGGCACAGCCATGACAGGCCGGCTCTGAGGTCAGACCGGGGCCGATCATAAGCCCATTCAGCAGATGACGACAAAGAGGGCAAATATCCCACCCACCCTGGCCCTGACCCTACGCCGAGCACAAGGGCAAGTACCGCCCTCCTGCCCCGACCAGCATGCCCCACACTGGCCCCCCGCCGGCAGGGACCCGGGCCGCCGGACGGAGGGGGACGGCCCGCTCACCGTGGCCGGGCCTGTCGCCCTCAGCAGGGCGGCCAGCAGGCAGCAGGTCCGGGTGAAGATGTCCCCGCTCTTGTCGGCGAGCCGGTCGCCTGGCTTCTCCCGGTACACGCGCAGAAGGCCCAGCAGCGTGTCCACGCAGCCGTCCACGGCGCTCACCGCGGCCACCGTCCGCTCGTACTGGAGAGGGCGGGGGCGGGGGACAGTGAGCGCGGCGCTGGGAGGAGCCCCAGGACCGAGAGGGACTGGCATCGACACGCGGGGACGAGCGGCCAGCGAGGACCTGCCCGGGAGCACCTGCCCGGGAGCACCTGCCCGGGGAGGACCTGCCCGGGAGCACCTGCCCGGGGAGCGGGGCTACCTTGGCCACGTGCAGCAGCACCTGCACGGCGTAGCTGACCACCTCCATGCAGGGCACGCTGCGGTTACAGCTGCGGATCAGCAGGAAGAGCTGGCGGAGCGCGCCGCTCTGGGCCAAGTCCTCGCAGCAGCGCGGGGACAGCCTGGTGGCCACCTCTGGAGGGAGGGAGGGAGGGAGGGAGAGAGGGAGAGAGAGGGAGGGGCTCAGAGCCCGCGAGGCCCAGCCCGGCGGGGCCGGAGGCCGCCGTGACCCCAGATAAGAGCTTGGCCCGGGACACCGCTCACCCAGGTGCCGCAGGGCCTCAAGGACGGCCGACAGGTGCCGGTAGGTGAGCAGGTGGTGCAGGGCCAGCGCCGTCCTCCGGCTCAGCCGGTCCTCCTCGCGCACGGCGCCGCTCAGCGCGCGCAGGCTGGTGCGGACGGCCGCCAGCCGCGGGCAGCCGCTCCTCCTCCTCAGCGCGTGGCCCCGCCACAGCGCCTGCGGACAGGACAAGCAGCGCTGCTCAGACCGCGCAGGGTGCTCCGGCGGCACGGCCCTCGTCCCCGCCAGGCGGACAGCTGCGTTTACAGAGCGGGCAGCTGGCAGCCAGCGCCCCGCGGTTCCGAGAAGCGGCCGGCCGGGCTTTCTAGGAAGCTCGCGGGCGTCCCTGTCTCAGTGCCCACTCCCCCGGCCCGCCGACCGCCCTCTCCTCATCCCACGCCCCCGGGAACCCAACAGGGCATCGGGCAGCTCAGCGCTGACGACAGTCTAGGGCAGGGCCGGCAAACCCATCCGTCCACAGAGCCAAACACCAACAGCACGACATGGCCATGTCTCCGGAGAGCCACGTTTTTAAACGTAAACGTCTCCTGGCGCCACGTCTTCCGCACAGACCCGCCCGGGCCGTGGCGTTCTGTGGAAGAGCCGCCCTCCGGGGGCCCGAGAGCCGCAGTTTGCCGGCCCCGGGTGTGCGGAGCGTTCGTGACCTGCGCCCTGAGCCGCGGCGCGGCAGCCCCACCTGGATCTTCACGGCCGCGCGGCCGAGCCGCTCCTGCTTCCTGCGGAGGAGGAAGCGGCGCACGGCGGCCTGGATCACCGAGGCAGCCCGGTCCCGCTGCCGCCCACGAGCTTGGACTTGGACTTGGTGCTGGATGGCGACGATGCTGTGACGGATGTGCATGAACCTCTGCAGCCGCAGCCTGGCCCGGAACCATCTCTGTGGAAAGCAGGGGAGGATTTTACTCGTGTGTGTGTGTGTGTGTGTGTGCATGTGTGTGTGTGTGTTACTGATTGCAGAGAGAGAGAGGGGGAGAGAGAATGAAACATCAGTGATGAGAATCATGGATCTGCTGCTTCCTGCACGCCGCACACTGGGGATCGAGCCCACAACCCGGGCCTGTGCCCTGACCGGGAATCGAACCCTGAACCTCCTGGTTCATAGGTTGATGCTCCGCCACCAGCCACACCGGCCGGCCGGGCTGCTTTGGTTTGTGATGTAAACGAGTGCACAGGGGAATCGCTTATTAAATACCCAGGCGTGTCACACACGTCCCGGCCGCACGGCGAGGCTCACCTGGATGCAGATGGCGGCCCGCAGGCGCCGGCCCGCGTGGCGCCGGTATGCCCTCTGGATCCGGGCGGCAGCCAGGTGGCAGCGGGCGGCGGCTGCCCAGCGCAGGAGCCGGACTCCGGCTCTGCGTTCCGCCGTCTGAAGGAGAGGGAACCATTGGTGACCAGAGACCCGACTCATAAGACACCAATCCATGCCTCCTGTGCGTCCCACTATCAGACTGTAAGTCCGGGCGAGTTAACGCTTAAAAGCTGACATTCTTCCCACGGTGGTAAGAAGTGCTATCATCTTTCAAACATGCCCACGTGTGTGAGCCACCCCTCGGGGCACAGGGGTGAGGTCACTCTGTGCGTGTTACTAAGTCCCGGCCCTCAGTCTCCCTGGCGTCCAGTCTGCTCTTCCCTGCCTCCTGAGGCAGCTCTTGGCACACGTCCGGGGCACGCTCAGACCCACCTGCACCGCCAGGAGGTGCTCGCGGGCCCTCCTGCCCGACAGTGTGGCTCTCCGCCTCCCCTGGAGGGTAACTGCGGCCGCCCTCACGCTCAGGACCCTGGAGAGGCAACGGAAAGCAAGTTCAGACCAACCTATTCGGTAGTGTTTATGGACCCGCGTTTAAACAGACACTGGAGGAGAAAGTACATGAAAGGCAATAACGAAAGAGCATACCAGAGAAATCCAATTCATGCTTATGTTCTAGCAGCCATCATTGCGAACACGCGCGCACACACACACACACACACGCACACACACGCACACACACACGCCCGCCCGCCCCAGCTCCAGCAGCTGCATTACCGTGCTCTGGCCTGCCGGGCCCGGAACCGGCCTTGCACGGCTCGCACAGCCTTCAGCACGGCCCGGTACTCCCTGCGCGCCCGCCAGCCCCGGAACCAGGCCTGGATCCTGCAGGCCGCCTGCTCGGCCCGCACCTGCCGCCGGGCTCTGTAGCTCCGCCACGCAGCCTGCTCGGCACAGAGACACACACCCGGGAGGGGGGTCACTTAGAAAGAAGGTCGCTCAACAGGGAAGCCCCCCTCAGGCCCGTGCTCCGGGGAGAGCGCCACCATTGCCCCCGGGGCCGCAGTTACCATCCAGAGGAGGAACATGGCCCTAACCCAGCGCCCCAGCCCCGCGGGCGTGGCCCCCTAGGAGAATGGGAGCTTATATGAAAGGAAGTGCACGTACCTGGATTGTCAGGGCGCTGGCTCTGACCTCCTGGAGCCGCCGCCTCTGCAGAAACCCCCGCGCCCACGCCTGGATGACGATGGCGCTGCTGACGCGTGAGCGCTCTCGCCTCCGGAGCCTCGCGGACGCACGGGCGCGGCGGCGATTCTGCCCGGTGACCGCCGCTCCCCTCCGCGGCAGGACCCGCCGCCGGGCCCGCCAAGCCCGCCGAGCCCGGAGGGCCAGCGGCAGGGGAACCACAGCCCTCCTCCGCCGGACGGACCTGCCCGGACACACGGCCACGCGGAGGGAGGCCCGGGCCCGCGGGGCGGCTCGCTCCCCGGCTCCCAGCGCCCTGGGGGCCTGGCGCCTGCGGTCGAGGTCCCTGGGTCCCCGCAAACCGCTGCAGGAGGACGGCCGTCCGGGGGCCCCTCTGCGTCTTCTCGGAGCCGCCACCACGGCCGCTCGCGAGTGGAGGGGGCGCGTCCTCGTTCTGGCGCCTCTGAGACGCGGCTGGACAGTGCGGGCCGCCGGCCGCTGCTCCAGACTCCGCTCCCCGGCCGCACCCGCCTGGGCAGAGGCCGCCGCCTTCTGGAGCGCGCGGGGCCCCAGCGCCCCGTCCTCCTTCGCTCCGTGTCCTTCCTGGGCCTCCGTGGGGGCCCCCCAAAGCTGCTGGTGGGGGAGGCGCTGCCGGTGCCTCCTGTGCGCGCGCCGAGTGAGCACAGCGGCTCCGAGCTGCTCCCGCAAGGCCTGTCCCGCCTTCGCTCCCTCCGGTGTGGCCGGGAGGACCTCGGCTGCACCCCCCTGTCCGACACACCCCTCTGCCCGCAGCCTCGCCGCTCGGCAGGCTCGGTCCCGCCGCTGCACCAGGACCGAGGCCTGTTGGAGGGCCCGGTCCCCGGCCTGCGCTCGGTGCGTCCTGAACGCGGCCTGGAGCACGGCGGCCGCCCGGCGCAGCTCCCGCAGCCGCTTCCGGGCCAGCCAGCCGCGGACCGCGGCCTGGAGGGTGGCGGCCGCGCGGTCCCGGCGCCGGAGGAAGGCCGTGCGTGCCCGGTGCCTGCGGTAGCAGCGCTGGATCAGCACGGCCGCCCTCTGCGCCCGCCGCAGGGTCCGCCTGGCTCGCGCTCCTCGCCAGCGCGCCTGGAGCACACGCACGGCCCGCAGGACGGCCACGAACCGCGCACGCTGCGCCCGGCCCCGGCGACGGGCCCTGAACCTCCTCTGGACGACCAGGGCGGCCGCTCGCGCCCGGCGGAACCTCCCTTGTGCCCGGTGCATCCTGAACGCGGCCTGGATGGCGGCGGCCGCCCTGTGCATGCACTGCAGCTGCCTCCTGGCTCGCAGGCCCCGGAAGGCAGCCTGGACGCGGACCGCCGCATCCTGCAGCCGGAGGAAGTCCCTGCGCTGCTGGCGGGCGGCGCTGGCCTGCCGGTACCACCTCTGGATGGCGGCGGCGGCGGCCCTGCAGGCCGCGTACCGCCTCCTGGCCGTCCGCCCCCTCCACGCGGCCTGCAGGGTCAGCGCCGCCCGCCGGCGCCCGGTGAACGCCGCTCGCTGCCTCCGCCCCGCGGCCCTCGCCCTCCAGCGCCGCTGCAGGACCAGCGCGGCCGCTCTCAGCCGCTGGAACCGCCTCCGGGCCCGGGCCGTGCGGAACGCGGCCTGGATCCTCCGCGCCGCCCGCCGCTCCCTGCGGCCCTGCGCCCGCACCTTCCAGCCGCGATAGGCCGCCTGCAGAGTGAGCGCCGCCGTCCTCGCCTTCACAGCCCGAGCTCTCCGGTCCCGAGCTGCCGTGCGGGCCCGGTACCGCCTCTGGATGGCGACGGCGGCCCGGAGCACCGCCCGGAACCGCGCCCGCTCCCGGTGGCCTCGGAACGCGGCCTGGATGGTACACGCGGCTGCGGACTGGCGCCTGAGGAGCTGACGCGCCCGGTGGCCTCTGTACGCGGCCTGGATGGTGCACGCGGCCGCGGCCTGGCGCCGGAGGAGCTGGCGCGCCCGGTGGCCTCTGTACGCGGCCTGGATGGTGCACGCGGCCGCGGCCTGGCGCCGGAGGAGCTGGCGCACCCGGTGGCCTCGGAACACGGCCTGCAGGCGGGTGGCGGCCCTGAGCACCTGCCGGTGCCTCCGCCGGCTGAGCCGGGCCTGGCGGGCGCGATAGTGCCGCTGGATGACCAGCGCCGCCTGGCGCACTCGCAGGAAGCGCCGCCGGGCCGCTCTCATGCGGAAGGAGGCCTGCAGCGTGACGGCGGCCGCCCTCTGCTGCCCCAGCCGCCGGCGGGCCAGGTGGCCCCGGGCGAAGGCCTGCAGCCGGACGGCGGCGTGTCTCAGGCGCAGGAAGCTCCTTCTGGCCGCGTGAGCGCGGTAGTGGGACTGGATGGTCACGGCGGACGTGCGGGCGCGCAGGAATGTCCTCCGGGCCCGCAGCCCCCGCCACGCAGCCTGCAGCACCAGCACGGCCGCGCGCGTCTCCCGGTAAGCCGCCAGCGCGCTCCGGGCCGCCACGCGAGCTCGGAAACGCGCCTGGACCACGAGGGCGGCGCTCCTCACCCTCCTGAATCTCCGCCGCTGCTGGTGCCGTCTCACGAGCGCCTGCAGCCTGACGGCCGTCTCCCGGAGGCTCAGGAACCGCGCCCGCTCCCGCCTCCTCCGCCAGTGCGCCTGCAGCCGGAGCGCCGCGGCCCGGGCCTGCAGGAAGCGGGCGCGCTCCGCTCTGCCCTGCAGGAGCGCCCGCCAGCGCCGCTGGACGGCCAGCACGCTCGCCCGCCTCCTCCGGTACAGCCGCCGGGCTCGCAGGCCCCGGAACCGGGCCTGGAGGAGGACGGCGCAGGCCCGGATGTGGCAGTATCGCCGGGCGGCCCGGCGCGCCCGGTACCAGGCCTGGATGGCGGTGGCGGCCCGCTCCTCCCGGGCACGCCGCCGGGCCCGCCACGCGCGGAAGGCCCTCTGCAGCGTGGCCGCGGCTCTGGTCCGGGCCCGCAGCTGCCGGCGCTGCCTCCTCCGGAAGGCGGCCTGGAGGACCAGGCAGGCGGCTCGGAGCGCCCGGTAGCGCTGCTGGTCCCGTCGCCGCTTCACGCACGCCCGCCAGCGCCGCTGGATGGTGACCGTGGCCCGCAGGCGGCGGCGGTGGGCGGCGACGGCGGCCACCATCCTCCTCCGAGCCTGCAGGACGACGGAGCAGTGCCTCAGCCTCAGGAACCGCCTCCGGGCGGAAAACCCTCTCCAGCGTCTCTGCGGGAGGAAGGAGCAGAGGGTGAGGCCAGACCCCGAACTCCACACGTCCGAATGCGTTCACTTCTCAAGCGTATCGCTTACAAGCGAGCACGTTACATTAAAACCACATGTTTTTGAACAAGATACTTGTCTGTGTGTGTGTATGTTGGGTTCTACATTGCTACAGCTAGAGCCCACTCCCCGATCTTTGTCTCAACCCTAATGCGATTATCTAAAACTGGCACAATGCAAGTATCTTTCTGATTCCGTAGCAATCAAACAGATCACTGCAGAATCAGACTGTGGAGTGGAATGAGGGCCCGCAGGCCAGTCCGGCCGAGGGGAGGCCTGGAGACCTCGGGAGGAAGACACAGCAGAGGCCACAGGAGGCCTGGGGGCCCGTCCGGGGAGAGCGGGCATCGCCCGTCCACGCCTGCGCTGCACCCGGCGTCCACACAAGTGCGCCTGGCTTTTTCATTTTTATACGAGTTTGAGGCAGACGGATGACGTACGTCAGGAAGCGGCATCTCAAACGCTCCTGCGATATCTGCCCAGGTTAAGCCCCAGGTAAAACAGAAGTCTAAGCTGCAACAATTTAGAAGCTGATCGTATTTCACTTCCTTCCTTTAAAAGCCACGAAACTTTCCAAGTTCCGAAGGGCCAGATGCTGACCTGGATCACGGATGCCGCCTGGTTCCGCGCTCTCTCCTGGCGCTCCCGCTCGGCTCGCAGGGCTGCCCGCCGCCGGCACAGCGCCCGCCAGCGCCTCTGGACGGCCAGCGCGGCCCGCGCCTCCCTCCGCCGGCGCCGTCTGGCCAGGAAGCCCCGCACGGCCGCCTGGATGACGCTGGCAGCTCGGTCTCGCTCCTCAAAACAAGAAAGCAATTGGGCCATCACTGGAGGCCCTGCGTGATTATCTGTGAAAGTCATCTGTCAGTGTTGACCGGCAGGCACACCGGACAAAGGGAACCGGGCCGGCCGGAAGGGCCACCCAGCACCGCGCACCAGACCAGACCAGCGGCTCTCCGGTACCTGGCGGCGCCGCCGCTCCACCCGCAGCCGGTGCTCCCGCCACGCCGCCTGGATGCGCCGCGCGGCCCGGCTCTCCCGGCGGAGGTCCAGCAGCCGCGCGCAGAGGAAGGACAGGTAGGTGATCACCACCTGGGAGGGCGCGGAGATGGAGGCGACGGCGGCAGGCCCTCGGCCGTCCCCGAGCCGCCGCCGCCCGGCCTCGGGGAAGGGAAGGGAGGGGCCCCGCTCGCGCACCTTCTCGTCGGGGATGGTGTTGGACATGTCGGCGTGCTGGACCATGGCCGGGATGCCGCCCAGGTCCCGGGCCGCGGAGCTCACCAGCTGGAAGTTCCTCCTCTCGTTCTCCAGGAGCTCCCGGTGCAGCTCCGCGGGGGCTGTCCCTGCGCCGGAGCAGCGCCGTGAGCCGGCGGCTCTGCCAACTGCAGGCCTGGCACCCGGCGCGCCACGCCCACCCACCCAGCGGGCCACGCCCACCGACCCAGTGCGCCACGCCCATCCACTCAGGGGCCACGCCCACCCACCCAACCGGCCATGCCCACCCACTCAGCGGGCCACGCCCACCAACCCAGCGGACCACGCCCATCCACTCAGGGGCCACGCCCATCCACTCAACGGGCCACGCCCATCCACTCAGGGGCCACGCCCCCCGACCCACCAGCCTGCCGCAGCTCCAGGGCTCGCAGGGACAGGTCCAGGCCGCTCTCCTCGGACTCGGACGAGGAGTTGAGGACCACGGAGCCGGACTGCGCGCACTCCACGGTCTGCGAGGTGCGCTGGCGGATGGCGGCCAGCGGCACGCAGCCCGGGTGGTAGTGGTGGATCAGGTAGCAGAGCAGGCGGCCGTCCGAGAAGGACACGGTGAAGTTGTCCACCTGCGGGCGAGCGGGAAGTCACCGCCGCGGAGAAGCAGAGACGCTGGCGGCAGGGCCACCTGCCCGCCTAACCCGCCCCGCCTCACAGGACGCCGGCACAGGGGGACGCGGGCAGAGGGCGGAGGCGGGCACAGGGGGATGTGGGCACAGACGCGGGCACAGGGCGGACGTGGGCACAGGGGGATGTGGGCACAGACACGGGCACAGGGGACGCGAGCACAGGACGGACGCGAGCAGAGGGAGGAGACGGGCACAGGGCGGAGGCAGGCATAGGACGGACGTAGACAGAGGGCGGAGGAGGGCACAGGGGGATGTGGGCACAGACGCGGGCACAGGGCAGAGGCGGGCACGGGGACGCGGGCACAGGGCGGAGGCGGGCACAGGGCGGAGGCGGGCACAGACGCGGGCACAGGGCGGAAGCGGGCACAGGACAGACGTGGGCACAGGGGGATGTGGGCACAGACGCGGGCACAGGGCGGAAGCGGGCACAGGACAGACGTGGGCACAGGGGGATGTGGGCACAGACGCGGGCACAGGGCGGAGGCGGGCACAGGGGGACGCGGGCACAGGGTGGAGGCGGGCACAGGGGGATGTGGGCACAGACGTGGGCACAGGGGGATGTGGGCACAGGGCGGAGGCGGGCACAGGGGGAGGTGGGCACAGGGGGAGGCGGGCACAGGGGGAGGCGGGCACAGGGGGACGCGGGCACAGGGGGACGCGGGCAGGCACCTGGGCGCCGTAGAAGGCGCACACGGCCCGCGCCCACTCCAGCAGCAGCCGCACGCTCTCGGGGCGCTCCCGGTCCGTCCGCTCCCGGAGGGACGTGTCCGCGCGGCCGGAGGGCGCCGGCGAGCTTTCCCCCGCCCTCCACGCGCGCTTCAAATACTCGATTTCTTCCTTTAACTCGTCCGCGTTGAGAGCGACGTCCACCTGGACGTGAGGGACGTGCCCGCCTCAGCCCTTCGGCCAGAGCATCGCCTCAGCCCAGACGCCGGCGTCTCTTTAGACCGACCCGTCCGCTGGGGGCGAGGCAGGGGCGGGGGCTCCGCCCACGGGGGTCGGGCCGGACAAGCTGGGCCCAAGCCGTCCCGTCCCGCCCCGGAGGGGTCTCTCCCTTCGGCTTCCTCTCTGGGTGAGGGAGAGGGAGAAGGAGGGAGAGGGAGAGGGAGGGTGAGGGAGAGGAAGGAGGAGGGAGAGGGAGGAGGAGGGAGAGGGAGGGTGAGGGAGAGGGAAGGTGAGGGAGAGGGAGAGGGAAGGTGAGGGAGAGGGAAGGTGAGGGAGAGGGAGAGGAGGGAGAGGGAGGAGGAGGAAGAGGGAGGAGGAGGGAGAGGGAGGAGGAGGGAGAGGGAGGAGGAGGGAGAAGGAGGAGGAGAGAGAGGGAGGGTGAGGAAGAGGGAGGAGAAAGGAGAGGGAGGGTGAGGGAGAGGGAGAGGAGGGAGAGGGAGGGTGCTCTGAGGACCAGCCCGTTCCCGGGACAGCACAGCAGGAGGAAGTCAGGGTCCCCGGCCGCCTCGGTACCTGGAAGGCCAGCGCCATCCTCCAGAGCAGCGCCAGGGTCTTCTCCCGGTGCCGGTCCACGATGTCCTTGGCCAGGATGGCGCTTCCTGTGGCGGAGACACGTCAGCACCGCGGGGGAGGAGGGGGGAGGGAGGAGGGAGGAGGGGGGGGACAGGGCCTCGGGGAGCGGCCGCGGGCTCACCCTGCTCGTCCTGTAAGGAGACCCCCCGGGCGCGCAGCGCCTGCAGAGCGAGGTCCACGTTGTGCACCTTCTGGAGGCGGCTGACGGCGGGCATGCGCAGCCGCCGGGACAGCCCCCAGTCCCCCGTGAGCAGCTCCGTGGCGCGCCTGCGGGCGGGAGGGGCCCCGGGTGAGAGTGGATATAAACACGGGGGGAGCCTCAGTACAGTGCGGCTGCCACCCCCATAACGCCCCACCAAGCTAACGAGTTAGACAGACTGACACTCTGAAACGCCTCGCTCCCGCCAGCACGCTGAGCCCCGGGACCCCATTCCCCCAAAGTGTGGCCGATGCTTAGTCCCGTTTCTTAACCCTAGATTCACCTCCAAACATGAGAAAGCAACGGAGGCCGTGCAAATGCAGACGCAAGTGCTTTCCGGAACATTCCAGCGACCCCGGACGCAGACCCACTCACACGAGGCGCGCCCCGCACTGCAGGTCCACGGCCAGGTTGGTGACGGCGAAGTCAAACTCGTCCAGGGGCGTCTGCACGTGGCTGACGGGCAGCCCCAGCCCGCTCAGGCGGCGGCACAGGTCGCCCTCCCCGCTGAGGAAGCTCCGGGAGAAGGCCAGCAGGACGTCTCTGCTCGCCTGTGGGCCGGCCGGGCGTCAGACCCCGCGCCCCCACCCGACAGCGACCGCTCAGGGGCAGCTCAGGCCAACGCGCCCGGGAGGAGGAGACCTGCCCCCGCGCAGAGGCCGGGAACCCCGTCTGCTCCCCTCCAGTTCGGGGCCGGCCGGCGAGGCTCAGGCGAACCCCCAGGCGGAGGGGAGCCGCTGGGAGGACTCGCTGGGCCGGCTCTGCCCACCCAGCCCGCTGCCCGGGGAGCTCACTCTCCTGCGGAGAAAACGGGCGACACGGCAAGCCCGAGCCTTAGGTGTGGACGGGCGGCGCCCCCGCCAAGACGGGCCCCACCTTGAACTCGGCGTCTCTGCAGAAGAGACAGGGGTCGTGGTCGATGAGCCGGGAGAGCTTGGCGCGGTCCAGGAAGCAGACCAGCAGCACGAACTTCTTGAGCGTGAAGGCAGAGAGGGCTTCCTCGTGGCCTGAGGAAGCGAGACACGGAGCGGGACAGGTTAACAACACAAACCGAGCAGATCCCCCGCCACAGCCACAGCCACAGCCACAGCCCCGAGGGGGCAGGAGGAACACAGGTGGAGGACATGCGGGGGATGAGGGAGAGGGGGGCGGGGAGAGGGCCCGGCCGGTGCTCTTTCTCCAGCCGGTGACTTCAGAGGCAGGAGGACCAGAGGCCGCCACCCCTGGAGCCGCTCACCGTCCCTGTACAGGTGGGGGACGGAGGGGTGTCTGTACTCGGCGGCGATGTCAGGGTTCCACAGCAGGCGGCCCAGGATGAACACGGCCAGCCCCGTGACGTCGCTGTTGTCTTCCAGAGCGATCAGCTCCCCGAACACGGTCTGGAGGGAACGAGAGGCGAGTCAGGCCCCGCCCGAGAGGCCGAGGGGCCGGATGGGGAGGCGGAGGCGCCTCCATCTTCATCTCCGGCCACGCCCTCCGTCCTGGGGAGCAGGGGGGCCCGCAGCTGTTAGGGGCAGTGTGGCCCGTCTCTCACTCCGTCCGTTTTCACATTCTCAGTAGGACTGGGCCTTGGGCGATGGGGAAACCTCGAGTTCCGATGCCACCTTTGTGCAGGGGCGCAGAGGGCTGCCTGCATCAGCCCGGGCAGGGCACAGCGCGGCCGGGGGCTGGCACCGAGGTCACGTCACAGCCACCCTCTGTGTCAGCGGACACACAGCACAGCCCTCAATGTGCTCAGGTTTCAATTCGGAAATGGACTCACAACAGCCCAGTTCTGCCAAAAAGGAGCTTATGCTGCTTGTTACTCTGTCTAGCACCGCGGTATAGATGTTTCAGAACAAAAAAGCGGCTGCAACAGTAAGTGGCGATGACCCGCAGGGGCCTGGTCCCCGAACCCCCTGAGCGCTTTGGTTTTAAACGGGAAGAAACGCTAATGAAACGCTCCATCAGGGAACCTGGGTTTTACTGTGGGCGCCTCCCACAAGCGCGTTTGAAGGCGCGGCCGCGGGGGGCGCCCTCACCTCCAGGCCGATGCGCAGCCACAGCGGGTTGTAGGCCAGCAGCCAGTTGAGGACCCTCTGCCGCTCCCCTGAAACCAAGCACACACCAGTCACCGGCCTCCATGGAGGACGGGGCAGGCGGGCCGCCACGCACAGGAAGCGGCGTTAGAAACACAGGAACTCCCGCGCACGGACACGCGACGGCCCCCGAGCGGGCGGCCGGCAGCGCAGGGCCGGGCTCGCGTGTTCACAGGCAGAGGCACAGCGGCCGGCGTACCCACGTCCTTCCAGAGCCGCCTGTCCCTCCGCACTGCCAGCCGCCGCGCCGCGATCTCCCCCTCCAGCTTCCTGATGGCCTGCACCATGCCGTCCGCCGTGAACAGGCGGCAGGCCGCGTGCCGCAGGCGGCTGAGCGGGCGCCGGGCCGTGTACGCCCGCAGCGACGCCTCCTCCTTGGTGGGCGCGCGGGCCACGCTCGGCTTGTGGTGGCTCTCGGCGCCCAGGAGCAGCGTGGCGGCGTTCACTGCAGGAGAGGAGAGACAGGGGCCCGGTGAACGCGATGCCCACGCGCCCGCCATGTCACCCGCGCCCTCCTCCATTCCAGCTCAACACCAAGCCCGGAGGCCCGTCCCCCACCGCGACCTGCTGGTTCCACCGCAAAAGGCGCCCCTTCCCACACTGTCTCCTCCGGGGTGCCTTCAGCCCGTGGACTGACGGGTCCCAGGTTCGATTCCGGGCAGGGGCTTGATCCCCAGTGCAGGAGGCAGCCGATCCATGATTCTCTCTCATCGTTGATGTTTCTCTCTCTCTCTCCCCTTCTCCCTTCCTCTCTGAAATCAACAATATATTTAAAAATAAAAAGGCACACTCTGGCCCCTCACTGGTGTGGCTCAGTGGACAGAGTGTCGCCCTGCGGACTGAAGGGTCCCGGGTTCGATTCCGGCCAAGGGCACGTGCTTTGGTTGCGGGCGCGTCCCCAGTGGGGGGCGTGCAGGAGGCAGCTGACGGGTGTTTCTAACTCTCCCTCCCTGTAGAGAATCACTGACGCGTTAAACACATCAGGAAGGCACTCGGCGTGCGGGGCCCTCCCCGCGGGCCGGCGCTCACCCTCCGTCGGGACGTGCGTCTTGGCGGCGAGGTGGTCGGGCGTCAGGAGGAAGTTGAGCCACCACGTGAGGCCCCGCTGCTGCTTCTCCTTCCAGCGCTCGTCGTAGAACACGTTCTTGGCGGCGAAGGGCATCGGGTGCCGGGGGATGTCTGCGGGCGTGAGACGGGGGTCAGCGGAGACCTTTTCCTTTAAATCGTCGGAGGGCTCCCGGCAGCAGAGCACAGGGAGGGGCCCCGGGGAGTGAGTGACACGCAATCCGAGGGCCAAGGGAGAGCGAGGCAGCCCCTGCTGCTTTCATCTGGAAGCCCCGAGTCCCGGGGCTGGTTCATAGGAGAGTCTGAGAAAGCGCCCCCATGGCCACCGCACACCCCCTCCCCGGCTCCCGTTCACACACTCGCGATCCGTTTCCGCCGGAAACACAGGTCCTGCTCCGCTCAGGGCAGTTCCCACAGCCGCTGCCGCCCAGAGACACTTGCCTGTTTTCAAGCGTTTAATGAAGGTCAGACTAGCCTGGGCCACAGGAACCATGCGTGGCGTCCGTCTGTGTGTTTTAGAGTTAGGAGTTTTGAATGCTAAAGAATCTAAAATAAATTGTAAAGCAGAACAAGAGCATTAAAAGGTGACACGAGGTCCCTGCGTGTTTCCCAGCTACATGTGGCTGTCCGTGCAACAAGCGTGTAGGAGGCGGAGGACAGGGGTCAGACCAGAGGCCAAGGCGGACAGGAAGCGGCTGAGTGGCCACGTCCGCCAGGCTGAGAACCGGCTAAGGCAGAAGCATGGAGACCGGGAGATGCCAGTCGGACCACTGGCTCTCCGTAAGTGGGCAGGGAGGGGCGGGAGGCCTCAGGAGGAGCGGAGGCGGCGGCGGCAGCCTGCAGCAGAGGGACACGGTCCCAAACCCGGAAAACAGAGCCGAGCTGAGACTTAAGAGCTTCCCTGAGGTCGGAGGGCATGAATTTACTTACTTATTGTTTTAGATCCTCACATGAAGTTATGGTTATTGATTTTAAAGAGAAAGTAAAGAAGGAAAGGAGGGAGAGGAGGAAAGGGGAGTAGGGGAGAGAGAGAAACACCCATTGGTTGCATCCCGACCAGAAATCAGACCCGGCCATGTGCCCTGACTGGACTGGGTAGGTGCCCTCCCCCTTTTGGTGAATGGTATGATGCTCCCACCACTGAGCCACCCGGCCAGGGCAGAGGTCACGCACTTAGGGACCCACCAGCAGGGTTCAGGCCGAGAGGCGGCCGCGTAGGGCTGGGCTGGGTGTCTCTAGACAAGCACAGCGAGGAGACGTGTGTGCAAGGAGCAATGGCAGCCACGCTGAGTAAGACGCACGTGGAGGCGGGCGGAAGTGGGGGCGGGAGCGGGAGTGGGGGTGAAAGGACTGCAGGGCTGGAGGGTAGGAGGATGCCGGCGCCAGGTTTCTGGAAACATGCCGGAGGGGAAGAGAGGGACCGGGGAGGGGGATGCCTTCAGGCGCGGGTTCCGGCCAGCTCAGAGCAGCCGCGTGTGCGGCCAGGGCGGCAGACAGCGCGGCTTCTGCGGACACTCACCGGCCCGCGCCCTCAGGAGTGACCTCCTGCTGCTGGCACCCTGCGGGCCGGGGGTCGCCGGCACTCTGGCCTTCTTGGCCGTGGAGGTCCGGGGCTCCGGGGGACAGAAGTGGGTTCTCTTGCTCTCGCGTCCCTCTGGGGGTCCTGGGCCTGCCAGCGCCCCGCGTGCGGCCTCCCCGCTGCCCCAGCTCTTCCTCTTCCGCGCCGCCGCCAAGGCGGTCTGGGGGGCAGGGGGCGCCGTTCTGCTCCCCGGAGAGCTGCTCCCGGCGGGATCGATGACCGGGAGGGGGGGGTGAAGGGCGCCGTCGTCCTCGGGGTCGTCTGCGGGGCTCACACACCCGCCGACCGCGCTGCGAAGGCACCGCCTGGCCCTCGGGGCGCCGGCGTCCGTGTGCGCCCGGGGCCCCGGCGGCCTCGGCTTGGTGACCGTGGCCGAGAGGATGGGGCGGCGCGGGGGCTGGGCCCCGGGGTCCGGGCCGGCAGCAGCTGGGGCCGCGGGCAGCCCGGGCCGCTTCCGTTTTGTGAAAGCGGAACCATCCGGCATCGCTTCCAAAGCCGCGGGTTCTTCAAAGATGGCTTCTGGAGAGTTCGAGGCCCGGCCTCCAGGAATAAGCGGTAAATCTTCATTTTCTTTCTGCCCCGGGGGAGACGGTGGGGCCTGAGAATTCTCTTTGGAGAGCGGCGACAACTGACACGTTGGCCGAGCTACAGCTAAATGCGGCAGGTTCTCTCGGACAAACTGGTTTGGGGACACAAACGGGTTCGCGGACTCCGGTTCCAGCTTCTGGCTTAGCCCGTAATTGTCCTTGAGGAAGGAATCGGGACTTAGAATGGCCCGATACGTGCCAGGGGTGGTGTCTGGTTCCACGGGCCTGGGCCTCGAACCCGCTTTGGGAAACACGTCTGGGGAGACACACGTCACTGGTTTATCCCCGACCCTGTGGCTGCTCCTCACAAAGGAGCCGGGGCTCAGAAAGCCCCCGTGGCTCCGGGCAACGCCCCACGTGGAAGGGCAGTTCGGGGTGAGAACGTGTTTACCGGCCTCTTCCATGGGGCCGTTGACATCATCAGTCAAGGAGTCCAAGGAACTTTCCGGCGTGACGTTGTCGTCGAACTCCTGGCACGCGGGGGCGCCTCCCAGTGCCCACAGCTGCCCGCTGACAGGTGCCTGGAGGGACGGGTAGGCGGTGGACCGCCGGACGCGCAGGGGCAGGCACGCGTCCCCGGGGCATTCCTCCGGAGCGGGGCTGATGGGCGAGATGGGTATTCTATTCTCCTGGAGGATGAGAGAATCGCTGGCTGTTGGGGCACAGCCTTCGTTCGCACCCAGGTTTTCGCAGGCCTGGAGGGGGCTCCTGACTCTGTCCGCTTTGGGCGGAACGCTGAACGTCTGGTTCACACTCGGAATATTCGGAATCCTCTTCTTGTGGCCTGAGGAGGCCGGAGCTTTCTTCCTCTTAATGGTGTCCCAAAGACTCCTCTGCAAAAGGAGCAAAACGGACAAGTTAGGTTTTGTACGTTACCTGTAATAAGAAAACGTACCTGCATAACTCACCTCCACACGGGTTATCAAAGCAATGTTCACACACTGTCATGTTCTCAAGCGTAAACGGCAGGACGGAAAAGTGGTTACCTTTTTCTTTCTGGGCTCCTCGGCGTTTCCTAGCAAAATGACCTCGTGTTTCAGAATGTCATTGACGACGAACGTCAGGACCTCTCGGACTCGGCCTTCTTTCACTGGCGTCCAGATCACAGAAATGACTATTTTTTCTTTCGGCTGAAATCAGAAGAATGATTTTAAATTACTGTAGCAGGAGACTACGCATACCAACCAACACATACTATGAAAGACTCAGACCACAGGGTCAGATTAGGGGGGGAAAATAATAATAATAATAATAATAATAATAATATATATATATAGATCAGATTAGCTAATGTTATATTTTGGGGGGGGCGAAGGGGGGTGCTGCAGAATTCCAGCAGTTAGTTATGTGTGCGGGGAGATGTACGAGGTTGAAAACCAGAGATAGGGAAGCATCGATCAGACTGTCAAACCTCAGAGGAAAGGCAGGGGAGAGATCAACCAAAGGACCTGTATGTATGCAGACCAACGGACACAGACACCAGGGGGGTGAGGGCATGGCTGGGAAGGTAATGGGGGGATGAAAACAAATATGTAATACCTTAATCCATAAAGAAATTAAAAAAAAAAAAAAGAAAGCAAGACGAAACCGGTTTGGCTCAGCGGATAGAACGTCAGCCAGCAGACTCAAGGGTCCCGGGTTCGATTCTGGTCAAGGGCATGTACCTTGGTTGCAGGCACATCCCCAGTGGTGGGTGTGCAGGAGGCAGCTGATGGATGCCTCTCTCTCATCGGTGTTTCTAGCTCTCTATCCCTCTCCCTTCCTCTCAGTGAAAAAATCAATAAAACATTTTAAAGCCGAAGCTGGTGTGGCTCAGTGGATAGAGCATCGGATCTGCGGACTGAAGGGTCCCGGGTTCCGGGTCAAGGGCATGTGTACCTTGGCTGCAGGCACATCCCTGGTGGGGGCTGTGCAGGAGGCAGCTGATCAATATTTCTCTGTCACGGATGTTTCTAGCTCTCTATCCCTCTCCCTTCCTCTCTGCAAAAAACCAATAAAATATATATTTCTTTAATAACGAAAACGGCTGCTCTGGGCAATAAGCTCAATATTGAGATGCTGCCGCAGGATGCGCCGCGCATGCGCGTTTGGGTACGGTGCTGCCCCACCCCCCACCCCACCCTACCCCATCCCACCCCCCACCCTACCCCGCCCCCCAGCACCCCGGCCCCCAGTCCCCTCCCGAGACGGGGGACCCGGATGCCCCCCCGAGTGGGCAGAGGAGAGAAAATAAAATAAAATAAACCTGGCTCCCTCCTCCTCTCGGGGTCCCCCCCCCCGCACCCCGCACCCCGCAGCCGGGGGCGCCCGCGCGGCCCGCACACGCACCTGCAGGCGGAAGGCGCGCGGCCGGACCTGGAAGCCGCGCTCGGCGGGCCCGCGGGGCAGCGCCACGGCGGCCGGCTCGGCGTTGGGGTTGAGCACGGCGAGCGGCCGCGCCCGGGAGGCGCCGGGCCGCAGGGCCCCGAAGCACACGAAGGGCCGCGGGCAGAAGTGGCTGAGGATGAGCACGGGCGGCGGGTCCGCCATGGCGCCCCGCGCCCCCCGAAACAGGTGGCGGCTCCCCCGACACACTCGCCGGCCGGACAGCGGCGGCGGCGCAGGCGAGGCGGCGTCTTGCCCCGACTTAAACTTCCCTCCTCCGCCCATGGGCATGCGCGGCCCCGCCCACGGCCAATCAGCGAGCCAACCAGCGAGCAGCGGCGCTCGGCGGGGGCCAATCGGAGGGCGGCAGCGCCGGGCCAATGGGAAGGCAGCGCCTCATTTAAATGATGGCTCGGTCTCGTCGCGCTCGCTCGCGGCGGAGGCGGGGGCCGCAAACCGAGGCGGGGTCTTTGCGACACCCCGAACCCCGCGGCGGCTTAGAGGGAGCCCGCCCTTTGGGTTTTGCAAAGAGGTTGGTTGCTTTGAGGGCGGGGGAGGGCGGCGGCGGCAGCGTTTCCACCGGGGAGGGAGGGAAGGAGGGAGGGAGGGCCATCCTTGCGGTTGCCAGGGGCAACCTTAAGCAAAACCGTTAGGAAAGCTAAGAGTGGCTCCAGCCAGCCTCCAGCCCAGGGTCCCCCCCACCTGCTCTCCCCCGACCCCCGCCCCCGGATCAGAGCCATCAGCCTGTCTCTCCCGGATTCCAGGGCGGAATGGGAGCAAATTGAAGACAATGACATGTGCAGTTTGTGCGAACATGGCTGGTTTTAGTGAGTGACCACAGCAGGGAGGCAGTGAGTTTCTACATGCTGGGTTTTTTATTGATTGATCATCGGATTTGTTGGGGTGACACGGATGAATAACGTGATACAGGCCTCAGGTGCACAGTTCTACAATATACTGCATTGTGTGTTTGGATTGCATTGTGTGTTTGCTGGATCTTCACTAGAGATGCCGGGAGCACAAATAGATGAAACCTGAGATTTTGGGCCATTCACGACTGGTTGGTGTCGGCAGGCCGCCCCTGGACAAAGAACTCCTTGGTTTTTATCTCAGTTGTTGTTGTCTAAGGACATATTCCTAAATGCTCCGGGTGGTTTTAAGTCTCAACTGCTGTTGGATGTAAAATCCATTAACCTGTATTTTACAGACGTGCAAGAGACAAAGCCAGGCTGTTAACACAGGAGGCCCTAATCTTGCCCTTACCCTATACCGCACTGCCTCTAAAGGCAGAAGGAACTCTATTTTTGTTTCAGATTTTTATTGATTTCAGAGTTCAGGAAGGGAGAGGGAGGGAGAGAGAAACATGATGAGAGGGAATCATTGCTCAGCTGCTTCCTGCACACCCCACACTGGGGATCGAGCCCACAACCCAGGGCATGTGCCCTTGACCGGGAATCGAGCCGTGATCTCCAGGTTCATAGGCCGATGCTCAACCACGGAGCCAGGCGGGCCGGGTGGAAACTTTAAAAATAGGTATGGGTATGGATACACAAACGGTGTCAGAAAAACATCCCTGGTTAAAAGCGATGAGGAAGGTGAGACAGGAAGTTATATTCACTGACACCCAATGGGGCCTGAAGGAGAACCGTCACCTTAACATCGTTTAAACAAAATGGTTACAATGGTGTTTTGACCCCGTTAAGACTGGTGTACAATGAGAACGCTACTACAGAGTTATTTTTTAAGCAAAAACGTTAGCATGAACGATCATTTCAAAAACACTTCATTTGTATTATTTCATACGGTGACCATCATTCTTCAGATTAACATTGCAAATACAAGCCTTCCGACGCTTCAGTCATTCACTGAATGGTTTCAGCTCAACAGGGTAGTTCATCCTGTTTACTAGTCATGGTTAATATTGAAAGGTACTATATTCATTAGCCACTTAAAAACCATCACATCATTTAATACATTTAATATGTAAAATATCTAGATGATGAGACATAAAATTGACGTAGATATGCCCCGGATGCTGCGTTTTCCATTTGTTCGCCGTGTTTGACGACATCCCAGTGCTGAGAAACTCTTCCATACGCTCCAGATACGCTTTACAAAGACCCAAGAACTTTATTGGAAGCATCAAAATAACAGAGAACGAGTTCCGCCTAAATCACACTTCTCAGTTGTCACAGAGGCGGGGCCTTTTTCTAGAAAAACGTTTGTACTTAGGAAACACGAGACAGCCCGAGCATCCAGAAAACCCGTGCCGTAAACTGTTACATACACGTGGTGGACAGAATGAGGCCTGCTGGTATGTTATGTTTCTCTTGGTAACTGCTCGGAAACGTGTCCTTAAGGATTAAAAACAAAACTAGGGTTTGAGACGGAGAACTAAGTTCGAAAGCATTTTCACTGGAATGGACATCATAAGGCCCTTCCACTATAACATGTACTGTACACGTGAGGCAGCTCAGTGCTCACCTCTGTACACACGTATTGGCAGCCACATGCGTCAGCTGCACTCAGTTTTCATCTGTAAGTCAAGTCCGACTGCTGGAAGGAGTAAGAGTCTTGTAAGGGCGCCGCAGGAATACCGAGCGAAGAGGAGAAATAACCGTGAGAAGTGTACATGCTCTTTATTCAAGAAATGATTTAGAATTTCCAAACATAATGCAAGCACTGAAAATACTTCTTTAGTTAAGAACTTGGGGGATGGGGGTAGGGGTGGGGGAAAGAGGCATGTCCATCTCTGTAAAACCTCTATTCCATGAATATAATCTTCATTTCTATTTATAGAATGGCTACGGAGGCTAAAATTTAGGTTCTTTGGGAATTTTCCAATAGTCATAGGCTTAAGATCAATCAGTACACAGCAAGTAAACAAAACAGAGGATTCGTCTCTAGCAAAATCTCTCATCTACCATTCAAGCTAATCCTATCACTTTTGTCTTCTCAAAGCTACTTCCGCAGGAAGTGCAGAGAGCGTGCTACTATTCCAGCATATGAAGGAGCGTTAGGCAGAAATAGTTTGGAAGGAAATAAAGGGGCTGCCCCCCCTCAAGAACCCGCTGCAGACTTGACCAAGAGACGACACACAAGCAGGCGAAGGATCTCAGAAAGAAATGTCTCATTTTCTAAACTGGTTAGCAAACGACTCTGACATCACCCACTGTTCGCTCTGACAGCAAGGAACACCTGCCCGTCCCCCCACGTGAAGTTTGAGAAATGCCACTCGCTTCTCGAACATTCTCGCCAAGTTCAATTTGGCACTGAGTCTCCCAGGAGACAGAGAGACAGACACACAACTCATTTCATTGTATTTGTTAGATTCCTCTGAGAAGCATAGAGAACCAGGCCTGGGAGTGTCTCTGTAGGGACTATAAAGGCCAAAATAGACATTAAAAAAAAAAAAAAATCAAACATTCTCACAAGAACGCTAGTGCCTATTTCCTTACGTAAACATAAAACAACCTAAAAAAAAAAAAAATTATTACAATAAAGTGCTGCCTGGCCAGCAGGCCACACACAAACGTAAGACCCAGAACCACCACCAAATCAAAACCGTTTTATCGGCCGGCACACGCTGGCCGGCGGAAGCAACTCGAAGCGACTACAACGCAGGGAAAAGGCACGCAAAAGCATTCGATCCAGACAAGACGGTCAAAGAGCTAGGGCCCCCCCGAACAGTCTGACTTGTGCCCCAGGGCACGGTCGAATGATCTGGAAGGAGGAAAAGGCAAACTTGCCAACGTGAGCAGTCTCGCCGTGTCTTGAATCTGTTTGCAATTGGAGCCTGAAAAGCAATGTGTGATTGTTTTCACTAGCCCTTAACTAACGGTCTGCAGCTACTCCGATAAGAGGTTTGGACACTTTTAAAAAGGTGGACGGGATATTATTAGTGTTCCTAACGTGACTCGAGGGGAAGTTAGCTGGGTAAAGCACCAGGTTAAACCCTATCTTGGCTATACTCCTCGTTCTCCTGGCAATAAATGACTAAATGACTTAGAAGGATGCCAAGATCACTACCTTCAGAATTAATGAGATCTTGCTGGATGAAAAAAATAAAAATAGGTGGAGTGTTTCATACAAAAATAACTTCAACTTGTCTTTAAAAAAAAAAAATCTAAGGCAAATGATTTTAATAGTGTAGTGTACAAAATAAGCTTATTGTTATGCATCTCATAGTGATTCACGTAAGATAACGTTCTATGAATTGAACTGAGAAAAACGGCGTTCTTGCTTGTAATTCATTTTGTCAGTATGACATTCCCAGAGCACTCTATTCTGTTCTTATTTTTACACATATAAACACAAACACTTCATCTTAGTATTCAAACTAACAATTTTTTTTTTTTTTAAATCCGTAAGCCTAGGACTTGGACTGTGCTTCTTTGGACAAATATGTATTCAAACAACAAAGAATGTAAATTCTTTTGAACTACTGTAAAACCTACTAAGATCTTTGGTGCATTTAAGTAAAAACCGATCAGGTTAACAAATCTCTACCCTTAATAAATTATTCCACTTACATATGAAGTGCTAACTGCTATCAGCTAAGATATTAATTTAAGACAATAAATTATGCCCATAAAATAAAAAAATTCTGAATGAGGCTAAGCTTCGTTGCGAAATTCAGAATTTAAGTACAGGTAACAGGAGTAAGGTATTTTAGAGTTCGCAGGACCTTTGTCCCCAGAAACTCCTAAATAGTACAAAAGGTTAAAATGAAAAGAGTAGGCCTCATTTCATATTTCTTGTGCCAACTTCAAAAAACTATGTACATTCAGTTTGCCCAAAATCTATGAGGTTTTCTCCAAGTTAGCGTTTCTTAAAGGCTCTAATCTGGAAATTAGAGGCAGCGGATTGTGATTAATTGCTTGTTCGTCCGCTGAGACTCTCTCTCTTCATCAAAGTCACCCTTCCCCGCCCAGCCTGTCGGAGAAGATGCAGTGCCTGGCGCCTGGAAGGCATGGCGGATGCCACTTGTCCTCCCTGGGAACCGGTACCCGCCACTCATCGATGATGGGGGCTTCACTGCATCCTTCGCCTCGGACTCACTCTCCCCAAACTGGGAAGACAGCCCCGTCCAGCACTCCCTCAGTGCTCGCTCTGAAGTTGAGACACGAGATAGCTTGCGAAAGCAATTTATAAACCTCTATTCAAGTGTTGTGACCTACGGTAACTAAATGGGTTTGCATTTCATTGTACAGAAAAGATGCATTCCAGAAAAGTTGCCTATTGTAAACCAATTCCTACCATCGAATCATGTAGTGAAAAGCATTAGGAGGTTACTAAAGGGACCCTAAAGTGAATACCTTTGAAAAACAAACGTATTCTTTACAATGTGAAAATGCAACACCCTTTTGTCCTGCTACCAAACAGAATACACCATGCACACACACACACACACACACACACACACACACACACACACACACACGTCTGGACCATCTGCCTTGTTGTAAGCCCCAGGTCTCCCACACAGCTTACAGGAGAGGCAGGATACACTGCTAGGTATGATTTCATAAGAGGAATTGTTTTTAGTTCAAAGCCGTGTTGAGCTTCAGGTTAAAAACTAGAGACCTGATGCACGAAGATTCGTGCAAGAATGGGCCTTCCTTCTCCTGGCTGCCTCGCCACCTTCGCTCTGGCCCGGAGCCGCCTTCCTGCCTTCCCACGCTGCCCAGGGGCCCAGAGCTGCTGGGGCGGTGCATGGGACGGCGCTAGCATCCCGCTCGGCACGTGTGTATGCAAATTAGCCCTCCATCTTTGGTTAATTTGCATACTCACTCCTGACTGGCTGGTGGGTGCCCGCGAAGGTACAGTCAATTTGCATCTTTCTCTTGTATTAGTGTAGATCGTAAGGATACTACGTATTTGTCAAAGTCAATCTGAAAGACTAACAGACTAACAGTACCTCATCTTGTCAAGTTCAGTTATTAAGTACCCAGATAGATTATCATTTCCACACAAAAGAATGCGTCAAAAAGGACCCCTGCATTAATTACACCTACCAGTCCAAGAATGATTATAACCAAACCTGAACAACTGAGGCAAAACTCAGGTTGGTTTTCTTACTTACAAGAGCTACTTGGGTCAAGTGCCTCAATTCTCAACACTTTTTCTCCTTTGCCTACGAGTACAACCAACTGTCAAGTACCTTCCTTCCTTAAGTGCTTCAGCAACACATGTCCCCATGAAGTGCCTAAATTTTATTAAAACGTCATTATTTTATTTGTGATTCTTCTTTTTTTTCACAAGGGCTGTGCCAGACATTATAGTTTACATTTAAGAAAAAAAAAAAAAAAAGTGCTTAAAGCAAAATCAGGGAGTGTAAACGGAACGGAAATAGCAAACGCTTAACATTGCTATTTCCCACTGGTTTACATACAAGTGACGTGCTAAGGAAGATTAACCCTGCCTGTTCTTATCCTCCCAGCAGCTCTGCTAGGAGACAGCCTCCTAGCTGACGTTCACATGGATGTGGAGATAGGGAAAGTGCACATCTTTAAAGTATCTCGCTGACTTTTTCCTCAATTAATTTTCATCAGCGAGGCGTCCCTGTAACTGCCATTTCCTTTCACCAAGTGCTCGCCTTGTGTCTCAGACAACAATAAAAATCAAGGGGAGTTAGACTTTAGGCTTCGGTGAAAAGCAGAAGTAAATCTGGATTCCACGTACATTTGTATACGCACAGCGGGTCCCTGTAATTAAATAATGCTGAGTTTAGACAGACACACACAGAGTGTCATTTGGCACCTTTTCTAACAACTCTGTGGGGAGTATCTCGGTTCTGTTTCCTAGAGTTTCAGTTAGCCGAGGTCCATGAGGCCAAAAATAACCTGTTCGTTACCTTTCATTCATTAATGAGATGAAGACAGATGCTGTGATAGGTTAACGTGAAATGAACGGCAAATACGAAAGGTGAACGTACCTTGAACGATACTATCGCTTTCTGCCTTCTACACATTATCAACTGTGTCATGTAATGCCTAGATCTACACGTGCATCTCTTATTCATATTCATTGAAGCGTAGCATCGGCAAAAACTGATCATTTGGATAGTTATTTCAATTCCGCATTTCATTGAACGCGCTACTCTGACACCAGTTAGCCTTCTGGCTTGGAGTCTGTCAAAAGAGTGAAAGATAATGACAGCCTAAAACGACCAGATAACCAGACTAAGAAACAACACAGAAATACCCAAGACTTCCTTATAAATTCAAATTCCTGATGCCCATCTCCAGAAACCTGGAGGGCAGAAGAAAGAATCTCAGATTGGATAAGGAAGGGCTGCGATGATCAGGAAACCCCCAGAAATTCTCCCTACGTGGTCCTCAAACTCGCTTGGAAGATGGGGAAGGGAGGAAAGAGGAATAATGAGACTAGAGAAGAAGAAAACTTCCGCTGATGATTTTCAGAAAGACGAAACATAATGTCAACAGCTAGCCGTTCTGAAGAAAAGTTTGAGATTCCGTTAGAAGTGGCGCTAAGTAAATCTTTTTTAAAAAAAATCACAAAAAGGTTCACTTCAAATACCTCGAAATGTGTCCAAATATTCACATGGTCAGTAAACAGAGACACGTGTTTCTTCTTGATTGGCGACGGCTCTGAGTGTTTGAAAAGGAAGGACAGAGCCGGGCGGCCGGCTCGTGAGCATCCCACCAGCCCGTGGACCGCCTGGCCGCCCTCACGCGCGATGCTCGGCCTCCGAGATGCCCGGCACGGCCGTGGCGCCGTCCAGCCCCAGCAGGGTGCCCAGGTAAGACTGTCCCCGGGGGTCCAGCATCTGCTCGGCGCGGACGGGGTGGACGATGTTTGCGGGCTGCGGGGTCAGCGTGTACTTTTCCAGAAAAGCTAAGTCCGCCGCCCGCGGGTAGTCGGCGGAGGGCGGCTGCGGGGACAGGATGTCGTGCGGGGGCGGCGGGAGGGGGGCTCCGTGCCGCCCCAGGTCGCCCGGGCCGTCGGGCATCTGCACGGGAACCAGCGTGACGGGCACGCACACCTCGGCGGGCGCGCTCTGCAGCGCTGTCCTGTCCCCCGCCGCCGGGCGGGCTTTGGGCTGGTCAGCCTCGAACACCTTGTCGTCGGCCGCGTACTGCGCGGGCAGGGCCACCAGCTTGTCCTCGGAGGCGCTCGGCGGGTCGTCCGGGGACCTGATGCCGTGCACGTGGTCGATGTGGTACTTGAGCTTGTCCTTGCGCTTGAACGTGGCGTTGCAGTACTGACAGTAGAAGGGCCGGGCGTCCGAGTGGATGACCAGGTGCTTGGTCAGGGTTTTCTTGATTCGGAACGACTGATTGCAGATCTGGCACTTGTACGGCTTCTCACCTGCGCGAACAGAGAGGAAGGGACATGTAAACACGCACTGGCTTGACAAGGCCATGGTTTTAAGTAGCCCGTTTCCCACGCGGATTCTTACAAGGACCTGATCAAAGCAGTAATGTATGTGCTGCCATCGCAAAGCAGTGAGCTGGTCAGGAGAAGGGGCTCCAGCATGGCAAGGCGTGGGTTTGAGTTCTGGCTGCGCTACTTACGAGACAGACCTGAAGCAAGCTTCCCAGTAATGAGCCGTCATCATCTCAGCTTGCTTTCCCTGTCCTTTATTCCCACAGCGGCCTCTGGGTACCCCCCCGATGGGGGCCTCGTCATTCCGAGGGAGGTGTGTGGCTTTGCTTTTCACAGCAGCACTGTACCCGTCATAAATCCTGTCCTGTAATTCTTGGCTATTGGAATTACCCCAAATCCCGTTATTTCCCCCATTCTGGTATTTAGGAACGCAATTATTTTTCTTTTCCGGAACAGCTGCCCGGCAATTAAATATAAAACAAAAGGAGCTAAAAAAAAAAAAAAAAAAAATGCATAAATGAGCCTCTTTCTCAAAAAGAAAGAAGAGCATGAAAAACTCTTAATTAACATGAGGCGTCAAACAGAGGCATACGGGAAAGATGCCGACATGCGCGGTCTGTGTTTCACACTAGGAAGCAAGCCCTTCTACTCGCCGACCTGAGAGTGACAGCTGCCTGGGCAGAGGAGACGGACACGTGGGCACTTGCGGGTGAGGCGACGAGGCCACATTTGAATTACGTTTTCAAAGACGAGAAAATACATGTCTTTAGGGAGTTCACAGACACAGAGGAACCACAAACAAGCAGAAAAGAAGGGAAGGAGAGCCAAGCGGTGAGTAAGTTCCCAATGAGGAAAGTTTCCCCCTAACTGTACAGAATGATATTCACAGCATTAAAGCTCACCTATAATAATAAAGTGTGATATGCTAATTAGACCTGACATCCTTCCGGACGAAGCCGGTGCTGGCAGCCGGGGAAGGAAGGCCTGCTCTGGCACAAAATTTGTGCACTGGGCCTCTAGTATCACAGAGAGTGGAAGACCAGAATATTGCTCATGGATAACATCAAACTTTATATAAGGAGCAACAATCTTAATGGGGGGGAAAAAACAAAACAACGCAACCGAGAACAACAAAGTTTAAATGCCTCTATTTTACTCCTAAATAATACACAAACATATATATATGTATATCTCATATATATACATTACCCATTAGGTTTTACCTGAATGCGTCCGAAAATGCATTTCGAGACTTGATTTGCCTTTAAAATATTTCTTACAGACATCGCACTGATGAAAGGTGGCTTTGTATCTAAGAAAATAAAGAGGGGTGGGTTTTTCTCAGTGTCACTTCAATAAACGATTCACCACAAATCGAGGTACAACAGTGTCAGACAAGCACCTGAAAGACCGAGATGGGCGCTGACGCGGCCACTGTCTTTGTGGGATAAACACCACGTGATTTGAAAGAACAAAAGACAACCTGCGGTTACAGCCGTGAGTATGTTGGCCGGTACTTTCTCAAAAATTACATGAACTGAGCCTGTCACTTCAAGGGGAAACGCTGACAATATTTGTTGCCAATAAAACTGGAGCTGTCAAGCTAACGTAAGACTTTGGGGAAATCTGTATTTGCCCTGGATCTTGGCAGGGTCTTGCACTCCACTCTGGGAGGCTGGAGGAAGGATTAGCAAACGTGACTGGTTGACCCTGTGCTGTGAAATATACTGACACTGAAGAACCCGTAGCCCAGGGAGCCCCCATTTTTGAATGATATTTCGTGCACCGGGCATCTAGGTAAGTATAATACACAGTGTTATATACGCCAAGAGCCACAGCAGCCAAACACACGAATCCCCCAAGAGTGCCGAGTGTTTATGTTCGTTACAAGTTCAATGTCCACCACCTCCTAGTCTCTGGACGACTGAGAATCAGGACCAGGGTACGCCTTGCTCAGTTCCCATAGGTCTGCAGAGAAGCTACGGCAGTGAGAGAGAGCTGGTTAGCCAACCTATCCGCCACTAAACAGCATACACGGAGACGCCCTGTCACACGCCTCCAGCCCAGGCTGATCCGAGGCAGCGCTGGTGAGGAGCTGCCTTCGCACTTACTTCTGCCACACCTTCTCGCCCAGGTGCACGCTCTTGTAATGAACAGTGAGATGATCCCGGCGGCCAAAACACTTTCCGCATTCTTCACACTGGTGAGCCTTTTCCCCTGAAAGACCCAAATATCTGATTATAACACCAGAAATAAATTACCGAACAGGAGAATAACACGGGGAGAAATAGACCAGGAAAGCCACGGCTGCATGTATCCACAGAACGTGTACAATGCAAATGTTGAACGTTTGATTAAAACGCTTTTAAAATATAGTTTTTAGTCATTCAAGACAACCAAGTGATTAAAATGACAGTGAAAATAAAAACAGGTCATAAAAGTATGTCCCTTTATAATGCTTCTTAAAAAAGGAGTGGCCTATATATATACCCAATTATTAGACTACCCAGAGGCCTGGTGCACGAAATTCATGCATGGGGGGAGGAGGGGTGTCCCTCAGCCCAGCCTGCACCCTCTCCAATCTGGGACCAGCCTTGGGAGATGTCCAACTGCCTGTTCAGGCCCAATCCCACTGGGACTGCTGGCTCACAACTGCTCTCCTGCCTTCCTGATTGCCCCTAACCGCTTCTGTCTGCCAGCCTGATCACCCCCTAACCATTCCCCTGCCAGCCTGATTGATGCCTAACTGCTCCCTGCCAGCCTGTTTGCCACTAACTGCCCTCCCCTGCAGGCCTGGTCACCCCTAACTGCCCTCCCCTGAAGACCTGGTCACCCCTAACTGCCCTCCCCTGCAGGCCTGGTCGCCCCTAACTGCCCTCCCCCACAGGCCAGGTTAAAAAAGGTAGTTAGAACCAGCGTCCAAAGGGGTGGCCTGCATAGACCCAATGACCAGACGAACAGGCGCACTGAGCTGCATTACGCAGCACGTGCTTCCCAGGCGCTGACCACAAAGGACGGGACGCCGCACGAGTACGCTCACCTGAGTGGATCTTCTTGTGCTTGGTCAGGTGGTCGTGGCGAATGAAGGTCTTCCCGCACTCCTCGCACCCGTACCTCTTGTCGTCGTGATGCACTCGGAGGTGAAGTCTGCGGGGAAGAGGACGTGAAGAGGGGGATTCGGGAGGAACCTCGGGGCTCGCTCCCCGTGGGGAGGGCTGTCTGCTCCCAGCTCATCCCTCTCCGGCTCCCTTTCCGGGGCTCTGAGCCCTTCCTGCTCGGACCACCTGACACCGGGCTCCCTGCTCTCCTCACCTCGTCACACAAGCACTCAGCTCTGCCCGGGCTCGCACCATCTCCGACAACACACCTTCCTGGCCTCTCAGATCCTCCGTCTACTCTACCTAACCCAGCACATGGCTGGGCTCGGACCTCAGAGCAGCCCAAGTGGGAGAGAATTGAGAAGGACTGGGGACGCAAACAGGCGGGTGCCCGAGGGACCCTTTCGGGGAACTGGCAGTGCGGATAAAGCGACAGTCGAGAACTGAGGGAATGTGTAAGCAATCAACTGCCTGACAATCACATTTTACGACTGTGCTTCCCTTCTAACCAAACAAAGTATGGCTCATGTTGTAGGGGCCCAAGGACAGATTATAAAAGGTTTAAATTCTTAAAGCTGATTTAACTGGAATTATTTTTATCCTCACCGTCCTCCAACCATGTATGTCCCAGAGAAATGAATAGCTTTCTCATTCAAGTTGCCCAAACATGCTGATTCTACGGTCACTAACACCGTAAGTGGACTGAATTACACGTAAAGGGAAGCATTCTGTTTAAACGTGGAGAGAGGTAAACAGCAAAGCCTTAAGGTTAACATTCTTCAGAGCATTAATTAAAAGTAAAATTGTACACGTATCTCCCAGGACACAGTCACCTATTCATTCATAGGAAAAAGCAACTTTTCAGAAACTGCAAATGTGGTCACGGATTCAGTTGCAGAAATAGTTACATGAATTTCAAATAAGGAGGACTTTCAAAAACCGAGAATCCGGAGTTTTCCCTTTTGCCACGTTTTCATATCAAACGATTCTTCGACAATCGAGAGTGAAGAAATACACTATGTTTACAACAGCAAAGTTAAATAAATTCTGATTCAAAGAAATAGATCTTTAAACGATGCCAATTCAGACAGTAAAGCATTCAGCAGACTTAGTGATGAGGAAATGTTTAAAATATTTTACAGCACAAAATGAAGGCAATATTCAAAGTTGTAAGGTAAGTCTAAGTTTTTTTGCACAACTTTGCTTGTTACAAGTGCTAAGAAATGTTTTAATTCAACACAAAACTGGTAGGAAAAATAGAATTAAAATGAAGCCACTGGTAGGAAAATAGAATTAAAATGAAGACGTAGCCCTGAACAGTTTGGCTCCATGGATAGAGAGAGCATTGGCCTGCGGACTGAAGGGTCCCGGGTTCGATTCCGGTCAAGGGCATGGACCTTGGTTGCAGGCACATTCCCAGGAGGGGGTGTGTGGGAGGCAGCTGATGGATGTTTCTCTCTCATCGGTGTTTCTAACTCTCTATCCCTTTCCCTCCCTTTCTATAAAGGAAAAAAAAAACAATAAGATATATTTAATAAGTAAATAAATAAAGACGTCATTTCCGCTTCCGTCCTCGGGAAAGGCTGACGCACCTGTAGGAGCTGCCGTGGCGGAAGCGCTGCCCGCAGATGCTGCAGAGATGGGGCTTCTCTCCGCTGTGGATCCGCATGTGCTCCTTCAGCGTGGTCCTAGTGAACACACACACATGTAAACTGGAGACTGACGTCATGCCGATGTGTACACGAAACATGCCAGCAGGCTCGCTAGAAACCTGTTCAAGCGAATGCTCTTCCTCTAGGATCAGTCTCAGCGGCACACACACACACACACACACACACACACACGCACACACGTGTTGTTCTCTCTCTGCTTCAAAAACCAAAACATACAAAATGAATAAATAAGTGAATAAACTTTCATGTATTTCTAGGGGGGTAGGAGGGGGGGGTTCAGAAAAAGACAAAACAGCACCTACGTCACATTCACCACCTAAACTCACCGATCCTGGCTTTGATCATCGTCTACAGCATTTTACCTAAGTTCGACTTGACTCCCTTCACACCTGAGCGAAAGCGGAACTCAAGCACGCCGTGTTTCCCGTCGCCCTGACCCTCGCACGCCGGGCCGGGGCCTCCCGCGTGCGTGGGGCGCCTCACCTCTCCCGCACGGACTTCCCGCAGATGAAGCAGGTCCACTTCCTCTTCCCTCCGTGCGTGCACTCGACGTGGCGCTTCAGGTTGCCCGTGTCGTTGAACTGGCGGCCGCAGACGTCACACGGAAAAGGGCCTGAGAGGGGAAGAACGGCGCAGGTCAGGCTTAAGGAGTAGATGCCAAGTTCAAGGTCAGCCCCCCATGTGCGTGCGAGACCAGAGAGGCTGTGGGCAGCCTGGGAACTGTGAGTGGCATCTGCAGGGGCGCGGGCGGTCCTGAGGGATCTGATCTGACACCGCCTCCAGCCAGAGGGTCCGACGGAGCTGCGGCCGGTGGCGGAGACCTGCCTGTGGCCGTGGAGGCCAGACCATTCAGAAAGGGGGCGTCTGTGTGACCAGCAAAGGAGACTCCCGGGGAAGGAGGGAGACATGGTGGGTACGGGCTAGGTTTCTCCCTCCTCAAGCTGGTTTTCTCCCTCCAACTACTGGTATCCATGGCACGTCAACGCGGCCTAGAACCACGGACACATTTGTCACCAGAGCAATAAACAAACAGACGTATTTCCTCGTCTCCGGGAACTGCAGGACATGCCATCCTCCTCCTCTTCCTCCTCCTCCTCCTCCTCAGTGGTGTGACAGCAGCAGGCTGCCCTGCACCCTGTGACCACCACCCGCCGCCCCGCTTCTGGAAAACGCAGTCTGCTCACCCAGATGGAACTTCTCCTGATGCTTTAGCCGGGCGAACCGTGACTTGAAATGCTCTTCGCAATAGGTGCACTTGAAGGGCTTGTCCTGGGAGTGCAGGATCATGTGCTCCTCCAGGTGAGGTTTCCGCGTGAAGTACTTCTTGCAGATCTAAAAGGAGGCGCACACAAAACGTGAGGGAACCCCGAATTAAAAATTAAAACACAAACCCCGTGATAATTCACGGGTGATAGCGGTGTCACAGGTAACATACGCGAGCTCAAGTTCAAGGCATGACAATCGCGTCAAAATAAAGCCAAGACTGTATCTGCCGGGCTCACCGCCGGCCTTAGTTTACCCAGCGCAGGATGTCACTGCCTGAAAGGCGGATCTAAAAGGCAGCTGCGCGACGTATGTGTTACGTGCAAGTCTGATGACCTTCCCAAAAGGCGCCGTGACGTTTAGTTCCTGATACAAATTAAAAGCCGTTACCTCGCATTTCCAACTTTCGCTCTTAGTCTTCTTAATGGAAATAAATTCTTGTGCATTTTCAGGATGAAATCTGGAAGAGAAAGAGAAAAAGATGACCAAGGGAAGAGTATATTCGTTAAATCAACACTCCAGAGAAACTGTGGACAGGGATTACAGAATCAGACGGATTCCTTCCTTACACACACACACACGAGTATGTGAAGATAACGAAATGGCTGTATCTGAAATTTCTACAGTCTAGGCTAAGGAGCACTTTTCCATTTCAAAAGCCTTCATCTCAACAGCATGAAAATGTCAACAAACGAACATCTGCTGCTCTTAATAAATACATATTGATTTTTTTTTTCTTTTTTAACAGAGAGGAAGGGAGAGGAGTAGAGAGTTAGAGACATCGACTAGAGAAACACTGATCTGCTGCCTCCTGCACACCCCCTACTGGGGATGTGCCCGCAACCAAGGCACATGCCCTTGACCGGAATCGAACCTGGGACCCTTCAGTCCGCAGGCCGACGCTCTGTCCACTGAGCCAACCCAGTCAGGGCTTAATAAATGTATAGTCTGCAAAGCCTCAGGCAGTGACAGCACTGGAGACAAGTCCTCCACCGCCATTCCCGGCGTCCTGTGCGTGTGAATCAGAAGGCACGACATGGTGTGTGACAGGAGCAAGGTCATACTCGCCTCTTCACGTGCTTGGCGAGCGTCTTCTTGCTGGCGTGCAGCTTGTTGCAATAAGGGCACTTGTGCTCCTTCTGGTGGAAGTCCGTCCCGTTGCTGTGCTTCCTCCGGTGGACGGTCAGGTTAGACTTGGTCGAATAGCGCTGGTGACAGATGTCACACTCAAAGGGCTTCTCGCCCGTGTGGACACGCGTGTGGCTCTCGTATTTTCCTGGGAGAAAGAGAGAGGGCAAAAGAGAATTCAGTCCCTTTGCCACAGGGACTGAAATTTGACAGTGGGGGATGGGGGGCTACGGGGAGACACCTCAGGAAACCAATTTCCTATACCAGTTACACGAGGCACGCAAGCCTGCCAGGCCCACGGGGATGGATGAAACAGTAATTTTACAGTCAGGTGGCACACACAGGTCCCTTTTATCATTTTATGTGGCAGAATACATCTCACAAAGTAAGGGAGGGTGGGGGCAAGGGCAAAGAGATCAACCAAAGGACTTGTGTGTGTGCCTATGGGCCTAACCAGTGGCCACGGACAACAGGGGGGTGGGGGCGTATGTGGGGAGGGGTTTGGGATGGGAATGGGGGGGGGGGGATAAGGACAATTATGTGAGACCATAATCAATAAAATAAATTTTTTAAAAAAGAATACATCTCACAACTTCGATTTATATGAAAACTTTAGAAGTTCACATTAGAAAATTCCACAGAAGAGACCTTCAGAAATTATTTTACCAGCAAATGTTTGATATCCTAAATATTCACGGACATGTTTTTAACTTAAGCAGTTAGACCACATTTCCGACATATACTTTTCTAATAAGGGAAAAGTTGACTTATTGGTTATTACAACCACCAAAGAATCTACCAATGAGGACACTTGCTAAAGACTCTTCCTACAAAATTAAGTCACAGTCAGTACAGCGCACATCACAGCGACCGGTGGTTGTTATTGTGTTGATTGGCATGTTAGCCTTTTATTATATAGAACAGGGTAATCTGAAACCTCCCAATTCCAAACAACGCCAGACACTGGAAAACTGACTGCATTTCTAATTCACATATTCCCAAGTCAAATTAAATCTAATATAACCTAACTCAATTTTCTCTGATGACTCAAAAACAGCACTCATCTATGAAATTACATTAGCACGTCAATCAGATCTCTACGTTCATCTGGACCGATGCTCTGGAGATTCTCAGACCAAACACACGAGCCAATCGCCTGTCATCTACCGCCAGGGCATGAGGAAGAGAAAATGAAGCCTCCTGCATACTTAAATGATTTCCTGAATCACAGCAAATTTTAAACCAACAGGATGAACCCTGTGCTGAAAAATCCAACACCCAGCCTAGTGGTCTCCTTTTTAAAGTTGACTTCCCAAGTTTCGTTTTGTTTTTAATATATCTTATTGATTTTTTTCACAGAGAGGAAGGGAGAAGGAGAGAGAGAGAAACATCAATGAGGAGAGAGAATCACCACTCAGCTGCCTCCTGCACACCTCCTCCTGGGGATGTGTCAGCAACCACCTACATGCCCTTGACCGGAATTGAACCTGGGACCCTTGAGTCCCCAGGCCGACGCTCTATCCACTGAGCCACGGCATCCAAGTTTCGTTTTTAATCGCGGCCTTCCAACCACCCCTGAAAACTCCAGTTGCTATGGAGACGGAAGCCACGCCCTCTTTCCTCACCTATCCGGTCAAAGGTTTTATCGCACATCGGACACTGCAGGATCTTTCTGTTATTTATCTGGATGATCACGGGGGACAGCTCCACGTGAAGGCTTCCTCCAGAATCGCCCGTCTCCGGTTCCTCCTCGTCCTCCTCCTCCTCCTCCTCGTCCTCCTCTTCCTCCTCCTCCTCCGACGGCTCCTTGTCACTCTGCTCTTCGATGTCACAGAACTCACTGGACACCTCCTCCTCGGGCACGTTCTCCTCGGCGTTGCCTTCGCTCCCGGGATCCTCGGAGTCGTTCCCGGCGGTGGCGCCGGCCTCCTCCTTCGGGTCCGACCCGTCGCCGCTCTCCGGCTCCTCGTCCTCCTCCTCCTCCTCCTCCTCCTCGCTGGTGTCCTGGAACTTCACAGGGAACTTCCTGCTCCGTGTGGGCCTCCGGGCGGCCGCCAGGCCCCGCTCCAGCACCGCCAGCCCATGCTTCTTGCCCAGGAAGCGGGAGGGCCGGTGGTGCGCCTTGGCCAGGTGGTTCTCCAGGGACTTTTTGTAGCAGAAGCAGCGGCCGCAGAACGTGCACCGGTGGCCGGCGGACAGCCGGCCGGTCAGCTCCCCGAGGGGGTCCCCGGGGGGCGCGGGGCCCGGGAGCTGCTGCCGGGGCGGGAAGGGCGGGGCGGCGCCCTCATCCTTGAGCAGCTGGACGGCGTCGATGATGTCCAGGAACTTGGCGGCCTCCAGCACCAGGGGGATCTCGCACGGGGACACGAAGAACTCCGACGTGTACAGGAACTCAAGCAGGTGGCGGAAGACGGAGTGGGTGACGTGGTCCAGCGTGACCACGTCCGTGCCGGGGTTCTTGCTCAGGCACGCGTGGAAGTAGCTGCTGCCCACGGCCACCACCACCTTGTGGGCGCTGAACTCCCGGCCCTCCACCACGATCAGCAGGTCGCAGAAGGACGGCTGCTTCTGGCGGTCGGCGTTGAGGTACTTGAGCAGGTTCTGATGGTACTGCCAGGAGCTCAGGAGGGTCCTCTGCTCGGCGGCCGCCGCCGGGGGCGGGCCCGGCGGGTCCCGGCAGCAGCGGGGGGCCTCGGGGGGCGCCGGGCGCGGGGCGCAGCGGGTGTAGGTCAGCGGGTCGCACGCCCCAGCGGACCCATGTCCCTCGGGGGAGTCGGTCCGGTAGCCCAGGCGGATCTTCTCGTCAAGACTGAAGGCAACCTTTCTCCTTTTCTTCATTGCAGGGAGACGGTTCCGGAACAAGGAACTTCATAAGGGTCTGCAGGGAGGCGTCGAGGGGAAAAAAAAAGAAAAAAAGAAAAATAGAAAGCAGATCGTCTTGGATATCGGCGTGCCCGAGGGGTTTCGTGAGCTGCAAAATAGCAAGAACAGCGGAAGTTAGGGATCTTCATGGCAAAGGGACCTCAACCCCCCCAACCCCCTACCCCACCTGCCCATCAGCCCTGCTGCCATCACCCCGAAAGGATGGCACAGCCCAAACCGGTGTGGCTCAGTGGATGGAGCGCCGGCCTGCACACTCAAGGGTCCCAGGTTCGATTCCGGTCCAAGAGCATGGGCCTTGGTGGCGGGCACATCCCCAGTGGGGGGCGTGCAGGAGGCAGCTGGTGGATGCTTCTCTCTCATGGATGTTTCTGGCTCTCCCTCCCTCTCCCTCCCTCCCTGTAAAAGTCAATAAAATATATTTTAAGAGAGAGAAAGAAAAGGGATGGCACAGTCTCAGCGTCCGCTCCCTGGGGGCTGAGATCTCAGGGCGGGGGCTCCGAGGGCCACATCGGGAGAGGCAGCCCCCAAAGGGGCGCGCGGGGGAAGCCCGAGGGCAGCCCGGGAGCCAGGCGCGGGGCGCGGGGGCGGAGGAGGGGCGCCCGCGGCCCCGAGGGTGCAGGCGGGTGGCCAGGGCCGCGCCCGCGGCGGCGCCGGGCGCCGGGCCGGTGACAATGAGGCCGCCGCAGCCGCCGCCTGGGACCGTCCACGCCTCCCCGTCCCCACGCTTTTCGGGGGCCGCGCCAGGCTCCCCCCGACTTCGGAGGAGACACGGACGCCCCGCGGCCCACGCCGCCCCGGAGCGCGCCCCGGGGTCAGCCTCAGGGACAGCCCCGGCCCCCGCGCCCCGGCGGTGACGGCGCCCGCCGAGGGGCCGCCCGCTCCCCCCTCCCCGGGGCCCCGCCGTCCATTACCGGAACCGGGGCTGCCCCGCTGGCTGCCGGCCGCCGCGCTCGCCCCGGCGCCGACCCACTTCCGGGTTCAGCCCCGCCCCGCCCCCCCCTCGGCGTCGGCCCCGCCGAACACGTCACTGCGCGCGCCGCCGCCGCACAGACGCCCCACTTCCCGGCGCGCCGCCTGGCGCCGGCCACTGCGCATGTGCGTGCACCCAGCTGGGCGCATGCTCCGTAAGCCCTCCCCGCCAGCTCTGGGAGAGTCCAGCAGTGCGCATGCTCCGTAAGCCCTCCCTGTCCTGGGGAGTCCAGCAGTGCGCATGCTCTGTAAGCCCTCCCAGCTCGCTCTGGGCAGTCCAGCAGTGCGCATGCTCCGTAAGCCCTGCCTGTCCTGGGCAGTCCAGCAGCGCGCATGCTCTGTAAGCCCTTCTCCGCCCGCTCTGGGCAGTCCAGCAGTGCGCATGCTCTGTAAACCCTCCCTGGCCTGGACAGTCCAGCAGTGCGCATGCTCCGTAAGCCCTCCCAGCTCGCTCTGGGCAGTCCAGCAGTGCGCATGCTCCGTAAGCACTCCCTGGACTGGGCAGTCTAGCAGTGCGCATGCTCCGTAAGCCCTCCCCGGCCCTGGGAACCCAGCAGCACCCCAAGTCCCAGACTCCGGGTTTTTGGGGTGATTGGGCAGCTTGCAGGGATCGGACCCCTCAGAATCCCGCAGGAAGCCTTGTTAGGAAAAGGAAGTGGGGAGCAATGAGCAGGGGCGCCCTAGCACCAAGGATTGCACCTCCCTGTGTGCAGCCACCCAGGGGCTGGTCCCCAAACTCTGCATCCGGGGAACCCACGCCGACTGCGTTTCCTTCTTTTTCTTGAGTCAAAGAGCTACCTTGGTTGCTCCTGAAATTATTCTTTAATGTCTTACTGTGCACAGAGGACATGGGGAAATGCACATAGAAATAAAACACAGGCCAGTAGGGCAGGTAGGGGAGCCAAAACAAAAGGGGAAAAAAACCTGCTATCTGTTTTGGGTTCATTTGCATACTCTTTCCTGATTGGCTGGTGGGCGTTGGGAAGGTACAGTCAATTTGCATCTTTCTCTTGCATTAGTGTAGATAACAAAGAGTTGGTTATTTCTAAGACACTGTGGAATGTTGAGCTGAAAGATTTTTTTTTTTGTCCTCCTATTAGTACTTTCTTCACGTTTTAAAATCTCTGATGTGACTTCTTATCGCCTCATTGGCAGCGTTTTTGTTTTTTGTCTTTCTTCGTGATACATATAATGTTGATGCACCTTACAAACGATGGTGTCTTAGACTCAATGCAACATGACACTGGCCTGGAATAATCACAAATACATCCTTTGCAATTATTATAAAATATGTACTTTTTTTTCTCTTTCTCTTTTTTTTTTTTTTAGCTCCCCAGGTTAGATGGAATAACTTCTGCTTCAACATTGACCCCAGAGTCGCTCTTTTAAAATTCTTGGTAGCGCAAATCCTTTTTCTAATTAAAAGAATCGCTAGCTCTAACCGGTGTGGCTCAGTGGACAGAGCGTCGACCTGCAGACTCAAGGGTTGGTTCGATTCCGGTCAAGGGTACGTACTTTGATTGCGGGTACATCCCCAGTAGGGGGCGTGCAGGAGCCAGCTGATGGATGCTTCTCTCTCATCCATGTTTCTTCTTATTTTCTCCCTTGTTTCCAGCAACACGGAAACATTTAGAAGCAAAACTGTCTTGGGAATGGAACGGGGAGTCCGGGGAACGAAGGCAAATGGATGAGAAGCTAGCTTCTTGTCTTCCGGTGGTTACTATAGCAACAATCGTGATGGGAGACTTTTTTCAGCCGAAAGTGGTTCCTATAACAACATGACAGGGGGCTTTAGAAACAGACCTGAGCGAAGAGACGCTTCAGGGGTCTCCCAGCCCCGGAGAGACCACGGGATTTAGCATCCTTGCAGAGGGTCGATCTTCGTTGGCTGATTTGCTGGCGGCCTTAAACAGGCTGCTTTCATTTCGTGCAGATGGACACATTCCATCGCCCCATCAAGACCTGGCTTTCTTCCTTTTGGAAAACAGTGGGTGTCTCCATCGTGACATCAAAGTAGTCCTTTTTAAAAATATATATATATTGTTTTTTTACAGAGAGGAAGGGAGAAGGATAGAGTTAGAATCATCGATGAGAGAGAAACATCCATCAGCTGCCTCCTGCAAATCCCCTTCTGGGGATGCGCCCACCACCAAGGTCCATGCCCTTGACTGGAATCGAACCTGGGACCCTTGAGTCCGCAGGCCGATGCTCTATCCACTAAGCCACACCGGTCAGGGCTCAAAGTAATCTCCCGAGGCATTCTTAAAAAGCCCCCCTGTAAAGAAACGCCTCGGGACGCAGGACAAATTGTTAAAAAATTGGGGCTGTCCCGCCAAGATCGGGACGTCTGGTCATCTTATCTTAAAGTAACTTTTCTCGTTGTGTTGCCCTGGGCCACGCCAGCACGGCCAAGGGTGAGCCTGAGGGGGGCAGGTGAGGGATGGAGAAAAGACAGACAAGAAGAAGGAAGCTGGGTCTGGGTCTCCTTTGAGGGAGAGCTAGTGCCAGCGCCAGGGATTCCCCTCCCCTTCCCCCCAACTGCCCTCCTCACCCCCGTTGAGCTGGTCCACACCCCGATTTTGTGCATTGGGGTTACTCACGGCATTTGCCTGGAAAAAACTCTGCTGCCTTAAGAGAGAAAGAGGTCTCAAATCCACTCTTCTGGAACCTCTAATAAAATCCAGTAGGTGGCGAGCTTGACTTTGAGGAAACCATTGGGCAGACGGTAGACGTTGGTCTGGAAATACCAATTCTGCTTCACACTCACAGAGCGATGGAAACTCCGTGGCCCTTGCGCAGAAGTCGGTTTTCGGCTCTCCGGAGAAATGTCAGTCGCTGTGCCGCTGGCATTTGGCTTTGGGAACTGATGAGTTTGCCGACCGCTGGGCTAAGCCAAGGGCCAGCCCCTGCGTGTCCATAATGCTACGTCTTTGAGGAAAACAAGTCAAAATCCTGGCCAAGTCAACCCTCTTCCCGGGGATCTGTGTTTGGCTCCTTCAGACAATCCTACTCGATCCCTGAGGGATTAGAAATAGCAAGGCCAAACAATTCCTGTAGCCGAAACCGGTGTGGTTCAGTGGATAGAGCATCAGCCTGCAGACTGAAAGGCCCCAGGTTTGATTCCGGTCAAGAGCATGGACCTTGGTTGCAGGCATATCCCTGATGGGGGGTGTGCAGGAGGCAGCTGGTCGATGTTTCTCGCTCATCGACGTTTCTAGCTCTCTGTCCTTCTTCCTTCCTCTCTGTGGAAAATCAATAAAATTAAAAAAAAAGAAAAAAAAATCCGATTCCTGCAATCTAAAAATAGGAGAGCATAAGTCACCGCTCCCATCCCCAGGGCCGCTTCTGCCTTTTGCATAATTTATTGTTCCGTGTTCCATCGGGGACCTGGTTCATCGGCTCTCGGTGTAGGAGGAGGAGAGGGACCGGGGCGGGGAGTCATCCATCCTCTCCCGCCTTCGCCAGCGGTAACAGCCCCGGTTAGCTCCGTGCAGCTGTAACTCATGCGTGTTTCTCACGCGTGTCTGTGCGGGTTCTTTATGCGCGCGTTTAATTCTCACAGCAGCGCCATTATCTTCAATTTATGGGCGAGGAAGCTGGAGTGAGCGATCCTGGTTTCCAGATAACGGGGCAGGGAAAGGAAAATGCCGGAGCCCTCGTTAAAAGACCGTGGGACGTTGATATAGAAACGCATAATGCCTTTAGGCTTGTAGAGATAATTCCCCAGGGGTTTGTTTGTCTGTTTGTTTGTTTTTAAAACACACACACACACACACATATATATATATATTTTTTTTTAAATATTTTTATTGATTTTAGAGAGGCAGAGAGAGGGAGAGAAGGAGAGCATCATGGATCGGCTGCCTCCTGCACACCCCCTACTGGGGATGGAGCCCACAACCCAGGCATGTGCCCTTGACCAGAATCGAACCTGAGACCCTTCAGTCTGCAGGCCGACGCTCTATCCACTGAACCACACCGGTCAG